GGTCAGAAAGCAACAATTAGAACTGGACATGGAACAATAGACTGGCTCCAAATAGGAAAAAGGAGTACGTCAACGCTGTATATTGTCACTGTGTTTATTTAACTTATATGTAGAGTACATCACGAGAAACACTGGACTGATGAAGCACAAGTTGGAATCAAGATTGCTGGGAGAAATAGCAATAACCTCAATATGCAGATGACACACCCTTATGGCAGAAAGTGAAGAAGAACTAAAGAGCCTCCTGATAAAAGTGAAAGAGGACAGTGAAAAATTTAGCTTAAAGCTCAACATTCAGAAAACTAAGATCATGACATCCAGTCCCATCACTTCATGGCAAATAGATGGGGAAACAGTGGAAACAGTGGTTGACTTTATTTTTTGAGGGGCTCCAAAATCACTGCAGAAGGTGACTTCAGCCACGAAATTAAGACGCTTACTCCTTGGAAGAAAAGTTATGACCAGCCTAGACAGCACATTAAAAAGCAGAGACATTACTTTGCCAACAAAGGTCCGTCTAATCAAGGCTATGGTTTTTCCAGTAGTCATGTATGGATGTGAGAGACTATAAAGAAAGCTGAGCACCAAAGAATTGATGCCTTTGAACTGTGGTGTTGGAGAAGACTCTTGAGTCCCTTGGACTGCAAGGAGATACAACCAGTCCACCCTAAAGGAAATCAGTCCTGAATATTCATTGGAAGTACTGATGTTGAAACTGAAACTCCAATACTTTGGCCACCTGATGCAAGAGCTGACTCACTTGGAGAGTCCCTGATGCTGGGAAAGATTGAAGGCAGGAGGGGAAGGGGATGACAAAGGATGAGATGGTTGGATGGCATCACTGACTCAATGGGCATGAGTTTGAGAGCTGGTGATGGACAGGGAGGCCTGGCATGCTGCAGTCCATGGGGCCGCAAAGAGTCGGACATGACTGAGTGACTGAACTGAACTGAAGCCTTTTAGAATTGGACTGGCTAGGTAGCCCCCATGCCTTTTAACTGGGAGGTGTGAAAATGTGAGGTTCATAATAGTTGAGGATTGAAGAATTACTTTGAGATGTTGAAGATAAAAGGTTTTTTGTTTGTCTTTATACATTTGCCTTTGGCAGATTAGTGTGGTGGGCTTCCCAGGTGGTTCAGTGGTAAAGAATCTGTCTGCCAAGCAGGAGATGTGGGTTTGATCCCTGGGTCAGTAAAATCTCCTGCAGAAGGAAATGGCAACACACTCCAGTATTCTTGCCTGGGAAATTTCATGGATGGAGTCGTCCGGTGGGTTACAACACAACTGAGTGGGCGTGCGTGCGCATGCACGCACACACACAATCAGCATGACAGGGCTTCAGCTTCAGCTTCCAAAGCACTCAGCACAGCTCACAATATCTGGCTAAGTGTTCTGAGGAAGGACAATAACAAAATGATGCAACAGTTATCAACCATCTTTTCTGCAATATTTTATCCCTTAAATGTTAGCTGAATTTTTACCAGGATAATCTAATTTAAACAATCTTAAAATGTACAAAATTCATTTCTTCCATGAAAACCTATGATCTGGAGCCCATCTGAACTTTTTGAGAAGATGGAATGATTCAGATCAAGGAATTCTGCAAACAACTTTTGTCATTAATGTTTATTTCAATTAAATGTGAATTCAGAATTAATGTAAGATAAAACCTCAAAGTATTTGGCAAAACAAATGCTATTATGAGTATGATTAAAATGTTTGTGTTACCTGTGTTATGAACTACAGACATTCTCAAAATTTAAAGCATATCCTGAAGAAAATAAAATTTTGATAAATTCTGTTTGTAAAAATCAATTCAGTAGTACAGTCCCCCTGGGGGAGAAGCAATCTGCCTTGTTACCATCAATTAAAAATCAAATGAGATATTTCAGTTGTGACCGTCACAGCACTATATAACACATAAAAACCTAAATCCTTTTGATCAGAGAATACAGTAAACAAAACTGGTATTTAATAGGTCTTATAGATCATGTAGTATAAAACATTTTCTTTTGCAAATAAAAATTTTATAAACTATTTCAAAAATGTTAGCAATTGAAAAATATGTCAACTGCAACAAAATTTCCAAACAGAAGTTCAAAAATCTTGGCAAAGCTATGCATGTAACATCAAATAAAATCTAGCTTTATTTACCAACTAAAATATTCATTAAAAACACATAACACTTCAACATTTCAATAGAAATTGCTGTTCTGTTATACATTATCAAGTCTGTTTTCTAAATAATTTGAAGATTTCAATTATAAGATAAATGAAGACTAAAAATAAAAACAATGCAAACTGAAGTGTTTTAGAGACCTATATATAAGTAATTCCCAAACACATAATTGTTATATGATTATAGTTTGGAATAAAATTTCCCTGAGCACTCTTTCTGCGTGGTTAGAAAAACTGATTTCTCCTGAATAATTCAATTTTTCATCCATCAAGTGTATCTGGGAATCTTTCCTTCCAGACATCTCTAAAGTAATAACTGATTATAACCATTTTAAGGGGCTATTTGAATGGCTATAGATTAATGGTTGAGTTTTAGTGCCCTGAGAACTGTACAGTGGGTATCTTATACAACTGAAATGATTTACTATCCTAAAACTATCAACAGTTGTTTTAACAAATTCAGAATCCAAATTTGTTTTAACAAATCCAGCTGTTTTAACTAGCTTCACAGAAGAAAGAAGTAATAATCAGCAATTCCAGACCAATAAATACATATTAAAAACTGAAAAAAAGAGTTGGATTAACATTGTGATTTCTCTGGAATAACACTGAAAAAAATTAAGCATTCTGCCAACACAGGAAATACTTCACCTTAAAACTTTACTTAATTCAGTTTTGAGATCTGTCACTCCTTAAAAGTCATGCAAACATAAAATTAGCATCACTGGAAATTTCATCACATAAATGGCAGTTCTCAATGCTATCACAAAATTTACAGCCCAAAGACATACTATAATCAGTGCACATGTACAGTAACACTACTAGATGTGTTCCCCTAATTTTTTAAGATCTTAAAAAACTCTTAGCTATTTGAGAGTTTAGGCCTCTTCTCTTTCAAATAAATAAAGTATAACAAATACCTGGGAGTCTTACGTATGTAAATTTCTAAATACTAATTTTTTACATAGCCTAGCATCACACTGATAGCTAACAGTGAATGATGTCGGATTCGTGATCTCTGAGGAAGATTTCAGCTTCAGGACTAGGGACCGAGCTTGATCAACAAGAGCTTTTGTGTAGCAGAGTTCTATTAAAGTATAAAAAGGGACAGAGGAAGCTTCTGACATACACATCAGAAAGGGGATAGAGAGTGCCCCCCACCCACAGTCTTATCAAGGCCTTATATACTTTTATCAGGCCCACTCCCACAGCAAACATCTTATCATAACAAGATTAGTCAGAAGGTTCTTGTTAAGAACATAAACATGTCCTAGAGCAAGATACATTGCTGTTACATAATCATTAGTACAGAGCTTAAGGAGAAACATACCCTTGAGTCATTAGCTCTGGGCTTAAAGAAAAACCGTTTTATGTGACTAATGTAGAAAAAGAATGTATGTCCTTTTCTCCTTGAGAGCCCCAGACCCCCTTCTCCTTCTCAAGGGCCCAGACCCCTTCCTCCTCCGTGACAGCCCTGGACCTCTTCCTCCTTGAGGGCCCCAGACTCCTTATCAACCTACCTAAGAATGAATTCTCTCAAAACCAAAGGAAAATCATACTTAAGAAGTTTCATATTTATAATTTCATGAGACTTAACTATGTATTTCCCTTCCCACTATGATTTACGTGGCTTGCAAGAATATTTAATAAATAACTTAAAACATTTTAGAAGTAATCATTCCGAAGATCTTTAAGTAAGCAATTTCAAGGGTCCAGAGGTATGTCTTCTGTCTTCTTATATTTTAAGGTGCTTTATGCAGGCCGACCTTGACCAAAACGACTTTTAGACCTAGATTTTTTTAAACAGAAAAGAAGGTAAGAGGTGGTTCTAAAACAATAAGAAGTTGCCACTGCTTTACGTTAAGTCTGACTGATACTGTCAAAATTTAATGAAAATTAATGTATCTCCATAATCCACTTTAAAAATCCTTGGAGTGAAATGTATTTTGGAATTCAGGTATTTTTTAATTTGGTGGAGATAATATGTACATACATTGTATATTATGAATCTGGAGTAGTGCCCCATAACCAAACACATGAATATTTCTTCACTAATACAAATGAGCACTTATATTAAATGGGATAAATAAAAACTACAAATAGCACCACAGTAGCTCAGATCAGGTTTGAGTTGCCACAAATGTATGAAAAAAAACTTTTGGCTTTCTGAGTTTTCTGGATTTCAGAATTGCAGATAAGGCATTTGGATCTGTGGTATTAATGATCAAATTTCAGTAACTGCTAATCTTTCAAAGAAAATTTGTGCTGTAAAATGACACAGAACATACAAGTTAGATATTCTTTTTCTTTGGCCCCGTTGCACAGTATGAAGGATCTTAGTTCCCGGACCAGGAATTGAACCCTAGCCCCCTGCAGTGGAAGCATGGAGTCTTAACCACTGAACCTCCAGGGAAGTCCCACAGGTTAGATTTTATAAAGAGAGAACAAAAAATAAGAAAATTTCAATGATTTATATAAAGTAGTAATATGTTATCAATAAACAACATAAAAATCCTGCTAGTTTGCAGTGACACTACAGCTTACATTTGTCAGCTGTTGGCTCAGAACCGAGCTGACTCAATGAACAGAAAACTGATTTAAAAAAACTAAACTTTCATTAAATTTTGCCATCATGACCTTTTAAAGTCTTAACTCTTAAGTTAAAATCTGGTTCTGACTAATGTCTTGATGATCTAATCTCCAAACAAAATAAAGTTGAACTCAAATTATGTGCTTCTAGTGTTCATATGATTTCTCCCTTAAGGAAAAAAAAAAATCATCACTTCAAAGCTGGCATTCTGAATTCACTTCTGCTGATTTACCTTGTGTTTTTTTCAGAGCTGCTCTGCCGAGCACTGACTGGCACTGAGGCCTTGATTTGTGCTTCAAGCCTGGAATAAATCCCTCCTGCAAACTGTAAAGGAGCACAATTAAGTTACTATCTATATGGAACCAAGAGAAGCTCAGCTTTATTGAAACAGCATTACTTTTTAATTTAGAAGCAATTTTATTTTGATTTTTTATAACTCTTTGGAGTTATAATTTATACATACTATTTTACTTTAAAATTCACCCTATTTAGTGTACTGTTCTGAGTTTTGACAAATGCATACAGTTATGTGAACACTTGTAATGGAGACATAACCCAGTTCCATCACCCCAAGAAAATCCCCTAGTGCCCCCTTTTAAAGCCAATGATTTGATGACTTTACAGTACAAATTCTGGCAACCATTAACTTTTGCGTTTTTTTTCTTGGCTGGTCTGTGTAGTTTACAGGATCTTAGTTCCCTGACCAAGGATAGAACTTGTGCCCTTGGCAGTGAAAGAACAGAGTCCTAACCACTGGACCAGGGAATTCCCCTACTTATCTGTTTTATGTCCCTATACCTTTGCATTTTCCAGAACCTTATATATATACAGAATCATATAGCTTACAGCCTTTTGAATAAGGCTTCTTGCACTTACCATAATGTGTAGGAGATTCATCTATGTTGCAGCATGTATCAGTAGCTCATTCTTTTTTATATATACCACAGTCTTATTCACTTATCAAGTAAAGGACATTTGGGTTGTTTCTAGTTTTTAACAATTCTAAATAAAGCCCCTGTAAAGATGTGTGAAATGATCTGTATGGTGAGTAAACATTAATATAAGAAACAGCCAAACTGTTTTCCAAAGTAGCCATTCCCTTTTGCATCCTTACCAGTTATATACGACAGTTCCAGTTGCTCTATATCCTTGTTAGCATATTAAAAAAATTTTTTTAGACATTTTAGTGGGTGTATAGTGGTATCTTGTTGAGGGATTAATTTACATTTCCCTAATGACTAAGAAGGCAAAGAGGCTGTCTCAGGAGGCTTTACTAACAGCTGAGGAAAGAAGCGAAGTGAGGCAAAGGAAAAAAGGAAAGATATACTCAACTGAATACAGAGTTCCAGAGAAAAGCAAGGAGAGATAAGAAGGCCTTCTCCAATGAACAATGCAAAGAAACAGAGGAAAACAACAGAATGGGAAAGACTAGACATTTCTTTAAGAAAACTGGAGATGTCAGGGGAACATTGTATGCAAGGATGGGCACGATAAAGGAAAGAAACTGTATGGACCTAACAGAAGCAGAAGGGATGAAGAAGAGGTGGCAAGAATATAAGAAAGGTCTTAATGACCCAGATAACCACCATGGTGGTGTCACTCACCTAGAGCCAGACATCCTGGAGTATGAAGTCAAGTGGGCCTTAAGAAGCATCACTACAAACAAAGCTAGTGGAGGTGATGGAATTCCAGTTGAGCTATTTCAAATTCTAAAAGATGATGCTGTTAAAGCGCTACACTCAATATGTCAGCAAATTTGGAAAACTCAGCAGTGGCCACACGACTGGAAAAGGTCCGTTTTCATTCCATTCCAAAGAAGGGCAATGTCAAAGAATGTTCAAACTACTGCACAATTGTACTCATTTCACATGCTAGCATGGTAATGCTCAAAATCCTTCAAGCTAGGCTTCAACTGTATGTGAACTGAGAACTTCCAGATGTACAGCTGGGTTTACAAAAGGCAGAGGAAACAGAGATCAAACTGTCAACATTTGTTTGATCATGGAAAAAGCAATGGAATTCCATAAAAATGTCTACTTCTGCTTCATTAACTACACTAAAGCCTTTGACTGTGTGGATCATAACAGCTGGAAAATTCTTAAAGAAGTGGGAATACCAGACCACATTATCTGTATCCTGAGAAACTGTTTGTGGGTCAAGAAGCAACAGCTAGAACCAGACATGGACTGGTTCAAAACTGGGAAAGGAATACGTCAATGCTAAATACTGTCAACTTGCTTATTTAACTTTTACACAGAGTATATCATGTGAAATGCTGGGCTGGATGAATCACAAGCTGGAATCAAGACTGCTTGGGGAAATATGAACAACCTCAGATATGCAGATGACACCACTCTAATGGCAGGAAGTGAAGAGGAACTGAAGAGCCTCTTGATGGGGGGTAGTAAGAAGCTGGCTTGAAACTCAACATCAAAAAACTCAGATCATGGCATCTGGTCCCATCATTTCATGGCAAATAGAAGCAGAAAAAGTAGAAGCAGTGACAGATTTTACCTTCTTGGACTTCAAAATCACTGTGGACACTCCAAAATTTCATGGTGAAATTTTGACTACAGCCATGAAATCGAAAGATGCTTGCTCCTTAGAAGGAAAACTAAGCCAAACCTAAACAGCATATTCAAAAGCAGAGCTACCACTTTGCTGACAAAGGTTCATACAGTCAAGGCTATGGTTTTCCCAGTAGTCATGTATGGATATGAGAGCTGGATCATAAAGAAGACTGAGCACTGAAGAACAGATGCTTTCAAATTGTGGTGCTGGAGAAAACTCTTCAGAGTCCACTGGACTGCAAGGAGCTCAAACCAGTCAATTCTAAAGGAAATCAACCCTGAATATTCCCTGAAAGGACTGATGCTGAAGCTCCAATACTGTAGCCGCCTGATGTGAAGACTGGTGAAGACTCTGATGCTGAAAAAGACTGACGGCAAGAGCAGTGGGCAGCAGAGGATAAGAGAGTTAGCATGGCTGATCCAATGGACAAGAGTCTGAGCAAACTCCAGGAGATGGTGGAGGACAGAGGAGCCTTGTTATGCTACATTCCATGGGGTCACAAAGAGCAGGACAAGACTTAGTGACTGAACAGCAATAATAATGACTAATGGCATTTTTGGTGGTGGCTCAGCAGTAAAGAATCTGCCTGCACTGCAGGAGACAGGAATCTGATCCCTGGGTCAGGAAGATCCTCTGGAGAAGGAAATGGCAACCTGCTCTAGTATTCTTGCCTGGGAAATACCATGCACAGAGGTCACAAAAGAGTTGGACAAGAGACTTAGCAAAAACAAACAAAAAAAGATGACTAGTGATGCTGCCAGCTTTTCCTGTGCTTCTTTGCTACCTTCTCTCATGAAGTCTATGGTTAATTTTTTGCCTGCTTCTTTTTATTGGGCTGTTTATTTTCTCACAGTTTATGGCTTGTTTTTTCATTCTTTTAATAATGCCTTTCAAAAAGAAGTTTTAAATTTTGATGAAATCCAATTTTTTTCTTTTATGGATCATGCTTTTGGTGTTGCAGCTAAGAAATATTTGCCTCACCCATGGTGATGAAGATTATTTTTCCTGTTTCTTGTAGGGAAGTAAATTTTTCAAGAAAAGCATTAGGGGCAAAAGTTACTGTAAATATATAATATTGATACTAATGATGATACATAATGTTATAACTAATATGTAATTCAGTAACAGTACAGGTATTTGTTATCATTTTTATAGTAAGACAACATCTTATTTTAAAGATAACATCTAAGCACCGATACAGAGCTGATAACATTAGCAACTCCAGGAGGTCACCTTCCACGATGAAGTCAATCTGTCCTTGGATACTATACTTTCAGTGACAATGTACTTTACTAGCTGTGTTACACAGGTCTATGGGCCATAAGAGGCGGTGAAAAACTTTTATGTCAATGAATTGGCTAACTGGTACAGAATATAAAAATATATTAAAAATTTACTCTTTTAAAATCATAAAGCATCTTTATACTTATGATGAAAATAAAGTAGGAAAGAGTACTAAGCAAGCACCATACATGAGTACGTAATCCTTACTTCTTTTGCTTCCTTTGACCTGACTCGATCCAGATCACCCAATCTCATCTTTATTAGGTGCCCAGTAATTTCAGACATCCGCCGCTGATCTGAAAGGTAAAAATTAATAAATCTTACTTTTTATGAGGATGTTTGATAATTTTTATTTCTTAAAGAAGACTGCAATTATTAAAAGTCCATGAAAACACCACTGTATATTATTTGCAGACACATACACCTATTTATCTTTGAAGGACTTTAGGCTTCAAGTGGCAAAATGGCTCATATGTATATAACTGGGCTGCTTTTAAGATGACTCTAAATCAGCTGAAGACATATTCAGCCTTCTTGAAAGTGGAAGCAGTGGATGAAAGTCAGGCTGAGAGACCTCAGAATGATGGATGCATGAAACCACACATTATCTACTGGGGTTGTCTAGTAATGAAACTCTGGTTGATGCCTAAGGGAATGTGCTAATTTTGTGCCTTATTCTAGTTGGAACATTTAAAGCTATTCAGCATACTTCATAAGACTCCTATCATTGCTATTTATATCCAATTTGTACATTACCCAAATACTACTACTTACCATCTTCTCTTTGGGCATCTTGGTTGAATCTCAAGGATCTTGTGGCATCCCACTTATTCTTCTGCATACTTACACTATTGAAAAAATTAAACAGAAATCAGCATTGATGTTTTTAGAGTGAACATCTGACTGGATTAAGGAGTAATACTCACATGAAAGGAGATACATCTCTAGAAGTTGACTAAAAAAAAGTAGACAACATTAAGGCCCAATTAGAACATATTTACTGATTAGCATTATAGGTAATAACAAAAAAGAGTTTACATTTATTGGGTACAAGATATTGTACCAAGAGCATTACAAGCATTGTTTCACTGAAGCCCTGCAACATCCATGTGAGATGGATGCTATTATTATCTCTATATTAAAACAGTTTCAGAGGAGTTAAGAAACTTATCCAAAGGGAAAAAGACCTAGAATTAGAACCTGTTTTATTTATCTGACCTGGAAGCCCCCCACCTCTAATGCAGTCTTTTAGAATTCACTCATTCTGTGCCTGTGGTCCTTAACATGGAGATGAAAGTGCAATCCATCCCACATATACTGTGTGGAATGTGTCTCCACCCCAGCTTTGCACACATTTTTAGAATCCACAGTTCCTCTTTTAGCCAACAGTAGTTATACTGTTCTCTTATTCCTACCTGGCTTTTTACTCCTTCCTTTGAAGGCATGAGGAAATAAGAATAATTTTAAATGGTCATAAAATATAATCAGTTTTAAAAATTGTTTTATTTTTTGAATAAGTAATACTGGTTCAAAATTCAAGAAGTATAAATAGGACACATAGTAAAAAAGTTTCTGTCCCTCCCCCTAGATATTCAGTTCCCTTCCTTAGAGGCAACCTATTTTATCAATGTCTGATACAGCTTTCTACAGCTACTTTATGGATATATAAGAAAATTCATATATATTCCTTTACCTATTCTACATAAATGGTAGCATAATACACCACTATACATACTGCTCTGTACTTTTCCTTTTTTCTTCTTCTCTTATAGTTAATTTGCAACGGTGTATTAGTTTCTGGTATAAAGTGATTCAGCTTATATATATATATATATGTATATATACTGGAGTGGATAGCCATTCCCTTCTCTAGGGGATCTTCCCAACCCAGGGATCAAACCTGGGTCTCCCACATTGCAGGCAGATTCTTTTTTTTTTTTTTTGTAGGCAGATTCTTTACTGTCTGAGCTACCAGGGAAGCCCATTATATATATATTTGTATATATTCTTTTTCACACTTTTCCATTGTAGTTTATTATAAGACGTTGAATATAGTCCCCTGTGCTATAGGATCTTGTTGTCTATTTTATATATAGTAGTAGTTTGTATATGCTAATCCAAAACTTCTAATTTATCTTTCTTATACTTCATTTTCCTTTCTTCATGTGTCAATATACCTTAGAGATCTTTAATCTCAGTCTTTACAGAGATTCTTCACTCATTTTTACACTGCTAGCATTCCACTATGGTACCGTAGCTCTTCTTTTTCAGATTTTTCCTGGATGTACCTGCTTACTTCTTAATACAACTTAAGAATAGTAATAATTAGAATAGACAATTTATAGTTACCTTCTCCAGGGCCTTTTCTTTCTTCTGACCACAGGGTGAAGACATCTGCTTCTTTGGTTGTTTAGTGAACTTCTTTGGCTTCTCCTTTTTCCCTGATAATAGAACGTCAGTGTTATCAGCCTATGCACTTGTCATATCCAAACAATAAAATCACTGAAAAAATAAAACATTGTTTTCAACAACTAAAAATTTACCTTCGGATAAAAAGTAAATACATGGAGAAATAAAACTAAAAGTGCTTTATAGAGGTTCATTTTTTTTCTTCTACTTGGTGAAAATCTTAGGGAAAAAAATGAGGGCAATGAATTCAAAGACCCAATGAAATTAAATGTAGAAAAATGTTGGAGAAATTACACATATTTATTTCCCTGAATCTAATGTGACAGTGGAGTCATCTTCTAATTTCAAATTTTTCAATATAAAAAATAACTGTAACCTAGAAAATCACAAATTGAGAAGGGGAGGAAAGAAGAGTTCACACACACAATCTTTAAAATGCCTTTGTTCACACAGGAGGTTGGGCTATGAGGTTAAAAATGGAGGTAGAACATAAATGATCCTGGGAAGATGCAGATCTGGGATAAACTGTATTCAAAATGAGGGCATTCCTGCAGTGAACATTCGGATCTTATTCTTGGCTGACAGTTTAGTGGAGAAAGGAGACAGACAAAAAAAGAGGGAGGGGAAAGAAGTATTTATCTAAAAACAAGGTTGGAAGGTTGATAATAATACATTAGATTGCTATTTCCCAATTATCAATTATTTGTACACCATCTTTACAGTTTTTGCTCTATCTTAAAAATGAAACTTCATCACTACCATAAATGAAAAACCTGTAAAATGTGCTACATAGAAGACAACCTTGAAGATAACAGAATAAAGACAAAACAACATCTAGAATCTAGATAGATTTATTTGTGTGCTGGCTCTGGGCCCCTGACATGTGTCTCTCTGTTAATGTGGGAGATTAACAAGTGTTATGTTGCTAACAATCCATGACAGGGTGGGCTACATGATAACAGCAGTGTGAAAGTGTGGACAATTTCTCCCCCCAAAATAATGATAAAAACAGAACAAAAATAGCATAAACAATCATCTGCAGGTACTGGAAAATAACCAAAGGAAGAGAGAAAGTTCATTGTTTACATGTGAAAAAAGCTCCCTTATCTGAGGGCACCTTCCCCCTCCTCCCCAGCTCAGGGAGGAAAATCATAACCCTGAGTTGCAGGGAGAAAATGACAGAGTTCAAAGCAACAGAGAAGCTAGGAATTCAAAGAGGAAAATTTGGAAACAAGAAAGAGATCTGAGGCCTAAAATGTGAACATGAACTATGCCCAAATTCTGAGCTGAACGTTAAACTATGCAAGTACACGGGAAACCCTAGGAAACTCAGCTAAAAAGGCAAGCAGAAACTAGGGTGGGGTGTTGAGCACTGCAAGACAGAACTGCTCTCTGTGAGAGGAGGCATGTTTCCTGTGCCTTTGAATGACTTCCCCAAACTGTTTTTAGCTTGAGCTTCTGAGAGTCTTGCTGGCTTGAATTATCACAAGTCAGACCTGGGACTGGAAAAACAAGTAGGAATCTAGGGGGAACCCCAAAGCAGGGAAACCACCAAGCAGGTGCACCCCCCAGTAAATTCTTTCCTTGGCTGACCACTAAATTCCCCAAACTGTCATTCTGCAGATGCTACCACCCTCCATGGTGACTGCTGAGAAGTTGGGGGAATACAAGAAGCAAGGTGAACAAGGAAACAGGACTGGCCCCAGAGAGCTGAGGTACATATGAAAGAAATAAATTCAGTGAGCCCAAAGACTTGCATCTTCCTATACACAGAATGCTAAATTCCTTCACGTGACAACTGATCTTGATGTTCAGACTGCCTGCTCTATTTGTTGCAAACTTGACCTGCCTCTTGAGAAACTCGTATGCAGGTCAGGAAGCAACAGTTAGAACTGGACATGGAACAACAGACTGGTTTCAAATAGGAAAAGGAGTACGTCAAGGCTGTACATTGTCACCCTGCTTATTTAACTTATATGCAGAGTACATCATGAGAAACGCTGGGCTGGAAGAAGCATAAGCTGGAATCAAGATTGCTGGGAGAAATATCAATAACCTCAGATATGCAGATGACACCACCCTTATGGCAGAAAGTGAAGAGGAACTAAAAAGCCTCTTGATGAAAGTGAAAGAGGAGAGTGAAAAAGCTGGCTTAAAACTCAACATTCAGAAAACTAAGATCATGGCATCTGGTCCCATCACCTCATGGGAAATAGATGGGGAGACAGTGAAAACAGTGTCAGACTTTATTTTTTTGGGCTCTAAAATCACTGCAGATGGTGACTGCAGCCATGAAATTAAAAGACACTTATTCCTTGGAAGGAAAGTTATGACCAACCTAGAGAGCATATTAAAAAGCAGAGACATTACTTTGCCCACAAAGGTCCGTCTGGTCAAGACTATGGTTTTTCCAGTGGTCATGTATGGATGTGAGAGTTGGACTGTGAAGAAAGCTGAGCGCCGAAAAATTGATGCTTTTGAACTGTGGTGTTGGAGAAGACTCTTGAGAGTCCCTTGGACTGTGAGGAGATCCAACCAGTCCATCCTGAAGGAGATCATTCCAGGGTGTTCATTGCAAGGATTGATGCTGAAGCTGAAACTCCAATACTTTGGCCACCTCATGAGAAGAGTTGACTCACTGGAAAAGACCCTGATGCTGGGAGGGATTGGGGGCAGGAGGAGGAGGGGACGACAGAGGATGAGATGGCTGGATGGCATCACTGACTCGATGGGCATGAGTTTGAGTAAACTCTGGGAGTTTGTGATGGACAGGGAGGCCTGGTGTGCTGTGATTCATGGGGTCGCAAAGAGTCAGACAGGACTGAGCGACTGAACTGAACTGAACTGAACTGAACTGTATATAGCCTAGAGTCCCCCTGCCTCCATGGAGCAGTTTTCTCAGAGCTACTGCGATGCTGTCTCCTGGGCTCAGCATCCTAAACATTCCCACCAGACAAAACAGCTCTCTACTTTCAGAATGTGAATATATTTTTTCAGTCAACAGTTTTGGCGACTATGAAGGAACCCAGAACAGATTTCTTTCCTCCACCTGAACTTTATGAAAAACCAGAGACACAGTACCATAAGAAGCTCACTAAACTACACAGGCTGGTGTGGCCTTTGAGGTGGGGGGCAGGCAAAAGCAGCAGCAGCTAGCAGGTGAAAAAACCTGTGCAGAGACACCAGCAGGGAGACAGATTTTGCAGTGTGACTTAGGCAGGTTAATTGCTTATAAGAACAAAAATCCCAACAATTCCTAGGAGAATAAAAGGTTTCTGAGTTGCACAAAGATAACCTACAGTATTTAGTTTTCACCCAAAAGTCATGAGATAAAGAAAATGAGAAGTATGATCCACTCAGAAGAAACAGTTAATAGAAACTGATTGAGAAGGCCAGCATGTTGGACTTGGGAGACAATAATTTCAAAGCAACTGTGACAGATATGTTCAAAGGAAAAATGGTAGAGAGAATCTCAACACATGATGTATAAAAGAAGAACCGGGGGGAAATTCTAGAGCTGAAAGGTATAACTGAAATGAAAAAGTGAAAAAATGTACCAGATAGGCTCAAAAGAAAATCTGAAATGGCAGAAAAATGAATCACTGAATATGAAGTCAAGGATTAGAAACTATCCAATCAGGGGGAGAGATGACTGAAGAAAACACCCAGAGCCTCCAAGACTATCAAAAGGCCACAGGTATATTGGAGACCCAGAGAACAAATGTGAGAAAGGGGCACAAAAAATACTTAAAGAAATAATGATTGTAAGATAACAATTTATATATTCAAGAGGTTCAACAAATCCCAAATAAAATAAACACAAAGAAAATCACATCTAGGCATGTCATAGTCAAGCTTCTAAGTCAAAAATAAAAAGATAAATCTCAAAAGCAGTGAGATTAAAAGTGTACATTACATACATAATGGGAAAATTTTTATCGTAAGTTTTATCATAACTTCTCAGAAACAATGGAGGCCAGACATATTTAATGACATGTTTAAAGTGCTGAAAGAAGGTGATATATAGATATATAGTTATACAGTTATGGCTTATTAGTGCTGTTGTATGACAGAAACCAACACAACATTATAAAGCAATTATCCTCCAAATTTAAAAAGAAGTGCTAAAAGAAAAAAGTTGTTAATCACGAATTATAAATTGAGAAAACTGTACTTCAAAAACAAAAGCAAAGTAAAGACATTTTCAGGTGAATAAAAACAATTCACTAGTGCACCTGCAGTATACCTGCACTACAGGAAATAAGAAGTCCTTCATGCTCAGCTGGTAAAGAATCCATGGGGTCGCAGAGAGTCGGACACACTGAGAGACCTTCACTCACTCATGAATGAATGAAAGAAAATAACACCAGATGGTAACAAAGATATAGAAACAAATGATAAACATGTTGGTAAATACAAAGGACTAAAGGTATATATTTTTCTTTGTTCCCTTCTCTAAAGGTTCTTATGTTAATATTCTACCTGGAGTAATTCATATTACCTTTAAGTAGACTGTGATAGATTAAAAAGGCATGTTGAAATCTTTAGAACAATCAAATGCAAAGAAATATAACTAAAAAGCTAATAATTTAAATAATATACTAAAATTATTTTCTTAGTACAAAAAAAGCGGGAAAGGAGAAACAGAGAAACAAAACATTTGAGCCAACTAGAAAATGAATAGCAAAATGGCAAAGCTAACACAACCATATCAACTAAATACATTAAATATAAATACAATAAATGGTCCAATCAAAATGCAGAGATTGTCAAACTGGACAAGAAAGCAATTTCCAACAATATGCTATCTACAAGATATATTCTTCAAATTAAGAACTCCAACATTGAAAATAAAAGGACAGAAGAAAGATAAGTCATTCAAATGGTAAACAAAACAAATCTAGAGTGATTATCTTAAAATTAAACAAAACAGACTTTAAGATAAGCAGTTCTACTATAAATAAAGAGGGCTCCGTCATGATAAAATAGTCAGCACACTATCAATGCATACATGCCTAGTTACAAAACTCAAACACGTACTATGCCAGGCCATGCCTGCTGCTCAGTCGTGTCTTTGACTCTCTGAGACCCCATGGACTGTAGTCTATCAGGCTCCTCTCTCTATGGAATTTTCCAGTCAAGAATACTGGAGTCAGTTGCCATTTCCTACTCCAGTGGATCGTCCTAAACCAGGCTTGAACCCATGTCTCTTGAGTCTCCTGCATTGGCAGGCAGATTCTTTACCACTGTGCCACCTGGGAAACTATATCATGATAAAAGAGTCAATACACTGTAACTGTATATGTGCCCAGTTACAAAGCTCTAACCCATACATAAAGCAAAAGCTGACAGACTTGAAAGGAAAAATACATAAATTAACATGATAGCTTGAGATTTCAATACTAATCTCTTACTAATTGATAGAACAAGCAGTCAGAAAATGAGCACTAGAAAATCAAACTGACTCTACATTTACAGACTACTCCACCAATAACAGAATTCACATTGTTTTCATGCACATCTGGAACATGTGTCAATAAAACTTAGAAGGTGAAAGCACAGACAGAACATTTTTTTATCACAATGGAATTATATGAGAAATCCACAACTGAAAAGTATTCAGAAAATCGGAAAATATTTGGAAATTAAACACATTACTGAGCAATACATGAGTCAAAGACAAAATCATGAGGGAAATTAGAAAATATTTTGTATTAAATATAAATGAAAACAAGATATACCAAAATCTGTGTTAAAAGCAGTGTTTAGAGTGAGTCTTATAGTTTTAAATGCTTATACTAGAAAAGAAAGTAAAAAATCAATGATTTAAGTTTCCATATTAAGAAGCTAGAAAAAAGAGGAAGGTAAGTCCAAAGTAAGTTCAAGGAAGGAAATAGTAAATATAAGACTGAAAATCAATGAAATATAAAATAGACAAAATACAGAGAAAGTCTATGAAATCAAAAGCTGGTTCCTGGAAAAGATCAATAAAACTAATAAACCTGTAGCTAAACTGATCAAGAAAAAAGGAATATAAAACACAAATTAACAATACCAGGAATGAAAGAGGGACATCACCAGAGATCCTTCAGATAGAAAAGGATAAGAAAATACTAGGAGCAACCTCATGCTAGTAAATCTGACACTGACAATTTGATAAAATGGACATATTCCTTGAGAGAAGTTGTCAAAACAGATTCAAGAAGAAAGAGAAAACTTGAATAGCACTATATTAATAAAAGACACTGAATTCATAGTTAAAAGTCTTCTGATAAAGAAAACTCCAGGCCCAAATGACTTCACTGCTAAATTTTATCATACATTTTAGGGCCAAAGAATACAAATACTACACAGATTCCTTCAAAAAAGGGTAGTGAACATTTTCCAACTCATTTTATGAGGTCAGTATTAACCTGATAACAAAATTTGAAGACATCATAAAAAAACTACAAATATCCTTCATGAACACTAATAAAAAATCTTTAACAAAGTACATACAAGCAAGTGAAATATAGTAATAAAGAGAAAAATGCCTATTGATGAAGGCCTAGATGCTGTGAAGTTTCAAGTTACCATGCAAATTTTTATGTCTAATAGAAAAGCAAATTATTTCTAATAGGAAAGATAACCCCAAAGATTATGGATTTACTGCCCTGTAGAACATTAAGTTTTGTATCTAATTTGCAATCTTTTTCTTAACATTCTTTTTTCAAATGCTTATAAATACCTGAGTAGTCAAATGCCTAACCCTAACCCTAACTTTTCTCTGCTATTTCTCTCACTAATGAGTTAAAAATTTTTGATACAAGTTCATTTTGCAGCTGTATAAAATGATGTTTTTAATTGTTAAAAAATCATACTTTGATGACTATTTTATTAAATTATTATTTATTATATTATTATAATAAAATTATTGTTAATTTTATTAAATTAAATAATTATTTAATTATACTACACTTGATCTTAGCCAAAAGGCCGAGAAGCGATTATTATTTAATTATAATAATTATTATTATTAAATGAATTTGAGTGTCATTTCAAATCATCTCAGGTATATTGATGTAGTTACACATTTTGAGAAACCCATTAAGTTATACCTGAAACGAAAACTCGGAGGATTATTTCTTAGTAATACCTCACTTTTTAAAAGTAACTTTATGAGTGTTCTGTGTTAGTGTCAGCATTAGAGAATCTTGAGGAAGCCTCTATTATTTTTTCCACATTGTAACCTACCATGTAGACTTATAAAGCCCCTTCCTCATCCCTTGCATTAAATCCTTCAGGATATAGCCTCCTTATAAAAGTGTGATGAGTTTCAACTTAGAAATCCATACTTTGTTTCTTGGATACTTCTTCTTCATCTCCAACTTCATCTTCAGTGACCTCGGACCCAGTGGTATATTCTTCTTCTTCTGAAAATAATGACTGTTGTTTCTAAAATAAAAAACAAAACATACCATATTAAAATTTTATCTTATCACATCACCAATGAATTCTTCCAAACACATTTATATACTTATTTTGGATGAATGAGCCAAACAAGAACTGATGAAATGACCACTGCCTAGCACAACATTTGGGAAATGTATCTAAGAATGTCTACATTTAAGACAGGATAACATTACATGAAATATTTAGAAAATTTACAATTTTCATAGATTCTAGCAGAGTGATGGGCACATCATAGGTACTTAGTATTTGCTGAACTGCAACTCTATTTCTCAACTTTAAATATTTTCCTTGATAATTAAAATTAAGTTAAAATACAATAATTGTCAATATTAATATAGTCTCATAAACAAGCAATGGGAAAGGAAATGGCAACCCACTCCAGTATGCTTGCCTGGGAAATCCCATGGACAGAGGAGCCTGGTGGGCTACAGTCCATGGGGTTGAAAAGGAGTCAGACATGACTTAGCGACTAAACAACAAATAGGCACATGTACAAATTCTCTGGGTGAATGTGGTCCTGGATTAAACATATCCACATCAGTTTCCTGCATCTATCCACCCTCCTATCTGTTATCACTGATTCAAATTTCTATTCCATTCTTGTGAATACTGGTGGCAGATGGCATAGTAATGGTAAACAGGCAGGAACAAACAATAAGTCAATCAACCAACCAAATAAATGGAACTTAATTGATTTGTTGTTTTGTTCAATATTTTAAATGTGACCTCCAAGTGACTTTTTAAAAAAGTCCTTTAAGAAAACTTAATGGGGGGAGGGGGGGAGAGAAAGCTTATGGGTTATGCAGCACGATAAAGGAGTATATGTCTGTTTTACAGTCCATGGAATTCTCCAGGCCAAAATACTGGAGTGGGTAGCCTTTCCCTTCTCTAGGGGATCTTCCAAACCCAGGGATCAAACCCAGGTCTCCCACATTGCAGGCGGATTCTTTCCCAGCTGAGCCACAAGGGAAGCTCAAGAATACTGGAGTGGGTAGCCTATCCCTTCTCCAGCGTATCTTCCCAACTCAGGAATCAAACTGGGGTCTCCTGCACTGCAGGTGGATTCTTTACCAACTGAGCTATGAGGGAAGACAACGATATTTTTAGTAAATGGGAAATTATAGATGCTGAAAAGGATGCTATACATTTAACTAACACCTATAAAATAAGGGTTTTCTCCAATAGCTAAGTTGATAAAGAATCTGCCTGCAATGTGGGAGACCTGGATTTGATCCCTGGGTTGGGAAGATCCCCTGGAGAAAGGAAAGGCTATCCACTCCAGTATTCTGGCCTAGGGAATTCCATGGACTGTATAGTAGTCCATGGGGTCGCAGAGTCAGACACGACTGAGCAACTTTCACTTCACTCACTTCACTATAAAATATTTATAAGATTCTATTAAACTAAACTTTGATGTAGGGAGAAAGATTTATGAAAGTGAAATATAGTCACTCACTTACCAGCTGCAGAGTCCAGTTTTTCAGTGATAAGAACTATAAAAAAAGCCAAATAAGAGATTAACACATATGCATCTACTTAGATTGCAGCTCCTTATTTTCATGTGGATGGTGTAGAAGAGTTAGAGAAAGTTACAAGTATGGCTCCCTTCTAGGGTGAAATATCTCATCTAAAAATGATATAGTACGATCTTTTATATTCCCTGCCTAGAGAAAAATGTGTATGTTTACAAAAAAAAAAAAAGAAAAAAAAAATCAACATTTCCTAGCGTCATTTCTAAAGGGCAAATAAATCACATACAGAGATAATATAATTTGTTATTTTGTTAATTATTTCACTTTTTAATGTTTATATTTTATTATAAATTAAAGAACCATATATATGGATATTCAAGAAATCTGCTATTTTATATACAATTTATAAATGTATGTCAATAATTAAACACTAATAGCAATCTGAAGCTTATAGCACATTTTACATGGGATATTTCACTTTCTTAGGTAAATGTTACTTTAACTAAAACAAAGACAGGATGTTCACAGGCAAATAGAGACTCCCTGGCTGTTAGTCACAGGAATCAAACACATCAAAGCTTTCCAGTCACCTTAAAAACATCTCAGTTTTGAAACCTTGGAAAAACTAAATGCATTACTGAATACAATTAAAAAAAAGAGAATTTTACACCAAAAAAGTTTATAGGGCTAAGGGGATAAAATATCCCATTCATATTATCTTTACTCTGCAAATCACTATTTGTCCATAATAAACCCTGAAGACTATATTTTCCCCCAAAATTTGATTATTAATTCTTTGAGGGCAAGGAAAATATCAGCCTTATAGTCCTGATAATTCAGCGTAACACTTTGTTATGATAGTCAGTAAATGCCTATTAATGAAAATCGCAGTATTAATTTAAACTGATCATATTTCTGTCAAAGATTAAATATCATCAGTTGTTTTTATAAATAAAAAATAAATGAAACAAGCTACTTACAGCATTAAGCTCCCCACTCTTGGGGCCCCATGGTGTATTTGGCTCCAGTAAAACATCACAGTCTAGACCCTTTTCATCACAGGGACCACCAGAATCACTTGAAAGAAAAAGATATTTTAGGAAGAAGTGTCCAATTTCTTAAGCTCTTTCTTTTTTTTGCCTGCATGGTACCCAGGTCCCAGTAATGAAAACGTAGTCCTAACCACTGGACCACCAGGGAATGCTACAATTTCTTAAGAATTTAAATGTAAACAATACTGCTTTAACTGCAAATGTTCTATAAATCGCTCTTCAGAAATACAGTTCTTGAGTATAAGGTATGCCATTCAACATTTACATTTCTTAATGCATCTCATGATTCCCCCAGCAGAAGTCACCCTGTATGGGGGGAGCACCACTTACACTCAAACATCATACCTGCCAGGTGGTTAAAATAGGCTACACTGGTGGATACTGCTTTGAGAACAGCTTTTGTTAGAGGGTCCTCCTACCCACAACTACCACAACAATAGCCCATTGTAACTGCAGAATGATGGAAGTGACTACATTAATTACTGAATCCAAGGAGTTCAAATCTAGGCAAAGATAACTTGTTGCAACCATTAATTTTTTCTTAGTTCAATCAGTCAAGCTAAGATGGTCTCAAGTAACTTGGGAACATTTTTTGAAACCCTCAAAAACTGGATTGTGGGCCTCACCCTTTCAGTCACCAGGAACTCCTATTATTAGTTTCTCTTCCTCTTGGACTTCTAATATTTTGAGTCCCCCCCCCGCCCCATCAAATAAACACATGCTTGCTCTTATTGTAAGCTAACACAATTTCAATTAGGCTTTCTGAAATAACATAAACTACTTAAGGACCACCATTACTGATTTGGGGAAGCACTGGGGGTAGAAGATTCTAGGATGGGAACCACTAATTGAATAAAGCTACAGTACAGGGCTTCTTTCCCTCACCTCACCTAATTGTATCTTTAGCAAAAGGCACAAGGATGACATCTTTGTGTTTGTGCAGATCATCCAGAATTTTGGCAGTTGGACAGGACAGCAAATCTTCACCTTCACCTTGATCACGAAGAGTAACCATATGGTCCTTTACTTTACAACCCTGTTATGTAAAAGACTAAATCTGAGAGGCTGGTTCTTTATAGAAACAATCATTTAAAGATGATGATTTCTTTTCCATTTTATTCTGTCACATCATCCCATGAATGAATTTACAACTTTTTCTTAAGAAAAAAATTACTTATACAGAAAAGAGCATGAAACATACACGCGTACCTTAACTAATATCCATGTAACACAATCCACACTAAGAACAGAATACTGCCAATACTCTAGGATTCCCACAGGGCCATTCCCAACCAAAACCACCTCTTCTTTCTTAAAGAATAACCTCTACCTCAGCTTTTTTGGTACTTCCTTCCTTGCTTTTATCCTTTTACCACTTAAGGATACATCTCTAAACACTGCAGTTTAGTTTTGTCTCATTTGTTTTAATGCTATGTTTTTGTGATTCAACCATGTTATTGCATGTAACTATTAATATATGCACAGTATTTCTCTATATGAATAATTATCATTTGTTTATCTATTCCATAGTTGGTGGGTGGGTTGTTTCCAGTTTGGAACTATTCTAAGTAGTAGTATTATAACATTCTTTAACATGTTTCCTGATACACAAGTGCTCATGTGTACCAAATTAAATGACTAACAGAAGTGTATGAGAGTGCTCTTTACGATCTTGATAACACTTGGTAATTGTAGTCATTCTGGGGAGCATGTAGTGGTATCTGACTGTGGTTTTAATCTGCATTTCCCCAATTAAAAATGAGGTTGAAATCCTTTCCATGTTTAGTGGACAATGAGGAATGTCCTTGTGTGAAGGTCCTATTGTCTTTTTCTATTAATTTGTACAAGTTTAAAAAAATCTTAGTATCAGCCTTTTATAGCTATGTGTTGCTAATATCAGGTCCCACCTATGAGTTTGCCTCCTCAGTTTCAGTTATTTAATGTAGCTAATGTACTTGAATTTAAAATTTCTTCCTTTATGGTATTATCTTTTAATAGCTTTATCAGCTTTGCCTCATATATAGGCTTTTAAAAAACATTTATTTATTTAAGGCTGTATTGGGTCTTCATGGCTGTGAGTAGGCTTTCTCTAGCTGCAGCAAGCAGGAACTACTCTCTAGCTGCGGTGTGTGAGCTTCTCATTAGGGTGGCTTCTCTAGTTGGAGAACACGGACTCTAGGGCACAGGATCAGTAGCTGTGGCACATGGGCTTAGCTGCCTGGTGGCATGTGGCATCGTCCCAGACCAGGGATCAACCAGGGACTGAACCTGCGTCACTGGCTTTGGCAGGGGGATTCTCAACCTCTGGACTATCAGGTAAGTTCCACATACAGACTTTTGGGGGACTAGTCTGGACCATTTTTTTTCCATTTTGATGTCCCAATGTGCCAGTACCTCTTCCTGGAAAGTCCGTCCTGTGCCCACTGCTCTGTAATGTCACCTCTGTCACAGTCAAGTATCCAGGTAGCTTCGAGCACAGAATTCCTCAGTATCTCTGGGGAAATGGTTCCAGTAGTCCCATATATACAAAAATCCATGGACTCAACCAATTGCATATTATATATACAGTACTGTACGTATTTATGTTTAAAAATCCAGGTATAAGTGGGCCCACATAGTTCAAATCAGTGTTGTTCAAAGTTCAAATGTATTTCATTCTCTTTTATTGGTCCATCTGTTTAATCTTCATCAATATCACCCTGTCATAATCACCAAGACTTAAGATAAATTTTGATATTAAGCAGAGAAAGTATTGGGTTGGCCAAAAAGTTCTTTCAGATCCCTAAGCTGTCATGGAAAAACCTAAGTCATTTTGGCCAACCCAGTACTTCTACCTTTACGTTCTTTGAGAGTCTCTTACCTGTTCTTGGCCTTTTGTATTTCCATAAATATTTTAGAATCAGCTTAGCAACATTCCTGATTTAAAAAACACCTCTTAAGATGTTTATTGAGATCACATGGATCTATATAGGTCAGGTTGGGGAACATTTATTTACTTATTTTGGCTGTGCTGGGTTTTCACTGCAGTGTGTGGCATTTCTCCAGGTGCCATATCGGGGTTTCTCCAGTTGCAGAGCACAGGCTCTAGAGTGTGAGAGTTCTCTAGCTGAGACACACAGGCTCAGATGACCTGTGGCATAAGGGATCTTAGTTCCTTGACCAGGGATCAAACCTCTGTCGCTTGCATTAAAAGGCGGATTCTTCACTACCCGATGTCCAGCAAAGTCCCACATCAGTGGATTTTGAGATAGTAGAACAGGAAAAGTTCCTTGATTTTGATTCCCATTGTAACTAACCTTTAAGAAAGACTACCCACAAGTTCAATGTGGAAACAGATCTGAGAATCTAGCTGTTTTCTCTTAATTCAGACATTGAAGAGAGTTATAAAAAATGTCAAACAGTTTCACTTATTTTTTTTTGCTTTGGAAAATAGTTATTTTTCACAAAAATATGCTGACATGTAATGAGATTATTCTCTTTCAATGAATTAACTTTTTCTGGTTTAATTTCCAATGGTAAATAGAGATAGATATAACCCACATAAATAAAAGCTCTCTAGGAATCTCAGCTTTGAAGATTTTGTTAGAGATCTTGAGTGCACAAGTTTGAGAACCAATGTTCTAAATGATGGAAGGAATAATTACTAAGTAATCTTTTTGGGACACTGACGTGTATAGGAGATCACACTGGTGGTTTAATAAAGTCTTTCTGTGCCTTAGAATTGCAATACATAGTAAATAAATCGATAATTATGGTATAAAAGTCTTCTGAGGAAGTTCATAATTTATTTTTGTGATCAAGTTAATAGAAAAAGTTTCTGATGGTTCTTAAAATTAAAGAATTGTTAAGTCAAAATTTTCAACCAGTCAGAGCCCAGATATGCCAGACCATGGAGATATATGTGTGAAATAAAAATCAAAACATGTAGAAAGGGAAAAAAACACTTGATTCAGCATGTTTATGAATACGGTAAAGGTTAAAAAAAAAAAAGAAAAAAAAGAAAAACTAGTCACTCTGTAATCTTGGACCTTAAATCAGTGGCTACAAATGTAACCTTTATGAAAGCAATCTTTATTCTAACCAAGAAAACTACCAAAATGTTTAATTAAATTGCTAATAATCCAGGGTCTTCACTGCAGTAAGTCATATTATAGCTTCCTGAGGAAATTATTCACCAGCTCCTTCCTCCCTTTGCCATTTCTCTTTGAGAACATTTAATCTAGGATTGTTATTTAAGGAAAGATTGCGAGTACTTATTTTAATAATTGTGTACATAGTCCTTTATTTAGGGGGATTGTCTTAGAAAATGGTAAAAACCACAATTTTCTTTTCCTTAAATATAACTCATGGGAGATGACTGTTCAGTTCAGTTCATTTCAGTTGCTCAGTCGCGTCCGACTCTGTGACCCCATGGAATGCAGCATGCCAGGCATCCCTGTCCATCACCGACTCGCAGAGCTTGCTCGGACTCATGTACATTGAGTTGGTGATGCCATCCAACCATCTCATCCTTTGTCATCACCTTCTTCTCCTGCCTTCAATCTTTCCCAGCATCAGGGTCTTCTCCAATGAGTCAGTTCTTCGCATCAAATGGCCAAAGTACTGGAGTTTGAGCTTCAGCATCAGTCCTTTCAGTGAACATTTGGTCAGGACTGATTTCCTTCAGAATATACTGGCTGGGTCTCCCTGTAGTCCAAGAGACTCTCAATGAGTCTTCTTCACCACCACAATTAAAAAGCATCAATTCTTTAGCAACCAGCTTTCTTTATAGTCCAAATCTCACATCCATACATGACTACTGGAAAAACCATAGCCTTGACTAGACAGACCTTTGTTGGCAAATTAATGTCTTTGCTTTTTAATATGTGGTCTAGGTTGGTCATAGCTTTCCTTCCAAGGAGCACGTGTCTTTTAATTTCATGGCTGCAGTCACCATCTGCAGTGATTTTGGAGCCCAGGAAAATAAAGTCTGCCACTGTTTCCACTGTTGCCCCATCTATTTGCCATGAAGTGATGGGACCAGATGCCATGATCTTAGTTTTTTGAATGTTGAGCTTTAAGACAACTTTTTCACTCTTCTTTTTCACTTTCATCAAGAGGCTTTTTAGTTCCTCTTCACTTTCTGCCGTAAGGGTGGTGTCATCTGCATATCTGAGGTTATTGATATTTCTCCCAGCAATCTTGATTCCAGCCTGTGCATCATCCAGCCTGGCATTTCTCATGATGTACCCTGCATATAAGTTAAATAAGCAGGGTGACCATATACAGCCTTGACGTACTCCTTTCCCAATTTGGAACTAGTCTGTTGTTCCAAGTCCGCTCCTAACTGTTGCTTCTTGACCTGCATACAGATTTCTCAGGGGGCAGGTCAGATGATCTGGTATTCCCATCTTTTTAAGAATTTTCCACAGTTTGTTGTGATCCACACAGTCAAAGGCTTTAGCATAGTCAATAAAGCAGAAGTAGATGTTTTTCTGGAATTCTCTTGCTTTTTTGATGATCCAACAGATGTTGGCAATTTGATCTCTGGTTCCTCTGCTTTTTCTAAATCCAGCTTAAACATCTGGGAGTTCATGGTTCATGTACTGTTGAAGCCTGGCTTGGAAAATTTTGAGCAGTACTTTGCTAGTGTGTGAGAGGAGTGCAATTGTGCGGTAGTTTGAACATTCTTTGGCATTGCATTTCTTTGGGATTGGCATGAAAATGGACCTTTTCCAGTCCTGTGGCCACTGCTGAGTTTTCCAAATTTGCTGGCATATTGAGTGCAGGACTTTCACAGCATCATCCTTTAGGATTTTGAAACAGCTCAACTGGAATTCCATCACCTCTACTAGCATTGTTTGTAGTGATGGTTCCTAAGGCCCACTTGACTTCGCATTCCAGGACGTCTGGCTCTAGGTGAGTGATCATACCACCACTGTGGTTATCTGGGTCATGAAGATCTTTTTGGTACAGTTCTTCTGTGTATTTTTGTCACCTCTTCTTAATATCTTCTTCTTCTCTTAGTTTCCCAGTCAGTATCTCCCATCAGGAAGCTTCCATAAGTCTCTTATCTTTATCTGTCAGAGGGCAGACAGAATGAAAACCACAATCACAGAAAACTAATCAAACTGATCAAATGGACCACTGCCTTGTTTAATGCAATGAAACTATGAGCCGTGCCGTATAGGGCCACCCAAGACAGACGGGTCATGGTGGAGAGTTCTGACAAAACGTGGTCCACTGGAGAAGGGAATGGCAAGCCACTTCAGCATTCTTGCCCCGAGAACCCCATGAACTGTATGAAAACGCAAAAAGCTATGACACTAAAAGATGTACTCCCCAGGTTGGCAGGTGCCCAATATGCTACTGGAGAAAAGTGGAAAAATAACTCCAGAAAGAATGAAGAGATGGAGCCAAAGCAAAAACAACACCCAGGTGTGTATGTGACTGGTGATGGAAATAAAGTCCGAAAAACAATACTGCATAGGGAGATGACTGAGGTTTATGAAAATGATAGCATAAGCCAGTACCCCTTCCCCCATCCCCATTTTTACGCTCACCTATACCTGTTGGTTTCAATGATCACTCATTTACAAGAAGACTTACAAATTATTATCTGTAGCCTAACCCCTACACAGTCAACACAGCAGTTAGTATTATACAGAATGATCACCTAGGTACACTGTTAAGTGAAAAAGGCAAATTACAGAATAAGATGAACAGTCTGATTCTATTTCCAATGTGAAAAACAACATTTAGTCTGTGCCTAAAATGTATAAAACAAGGTCTTAAGGGAAGTTGTGAACAGTGGTTATCTTTGAGAAGTAGCATGAGGCAGTGGTATGAAATGAGATTTCTACTTTTTATTATACTTCCCTATGTAGTTAAATCTTCTCTACATGAATGTATATTTACATTTTAAAAACAATAAAAGAGGAAAACATTTAAATACAAAGTGTTATTTAATAAGTGCTGTAATTACAAAAGGGCAACCTTCAAAATCTACCTTTGTAAGCTGAGTGGGGTCAAATCGAAGAACCTTTTGGTTACAGCAGGGATAAATTCCAGTGCCAACAGTACTCAGCGAACTTCCTGCAGCAGGATAAATCACTGTCTCTGAGTGATACTGACAGTGTGAAAACTCTATGCACAGAAAAGTCTGAATAAAAGAAATACATAAAATTAAGTATTATTCCCACAGTGAAATTATACATCTCAAAAATACTCAAGACCACATACTGAATGTCCCATCACGTAAAATATACAGAAAAGGCACATCTCTAGAGCTAAAATGCAGATTTGTGGATGCCTGGGATTAAAATGAGACTAGGTTGGGGAGTGGCTGCAAATGGATACAAGGGATCTTTCTGGGGTGATGGAAATGTACTAAAGTTGGATGGTGGTGATGGTTGAATAATTCCAAATTTATTAAAGATCAGTAAATTGTACACTTAAAATGAATGAATTTTATGGCTTGTAATAATACCTCAACAAAGCTGTTAAAAAGCAAAGTCAAAAATGCTATTTGAATTTCAGAGGAGTTAAACTGATCTTGATGTACATCTAATTTTATAATTGGCCTATCACAAAAGAGGTTTTCCAATGGAAAAAATTAAATAAAATTTTGCCTCCCTTATTCTTGGACATATTTTTTAAGGTAAATACTTAACATCACTCTATCTGTGACAACTATGGAGTAACTGAATGACTAGTGAAAAAGTTACTAACGTTTAATTATAAGATTAATAGTCATGTCCAGACATGTTTGTAAGTTGGTAAAACAAAGAAAATAAAATGAACAATTTTAAGCACTGATCCTGAACACAAAAGATAGTCTGTAATTCAGAATTCTTAGCAGTTAGTTCCAATTATGATTTTCAAATAATAGCTTTCAATTAAAATTTTTTGAGTCTGATAAAAGCTATAAGGTGCATACTCATACAAAGTATTTTGCATACAAACTATTTTATGAGTTTATAAACTCTCATAAAAATATTAAATATTATAAATCAGTATTCAATTTGCTTTGAAGAAGGGGAAAAAAATCCTTCAAATTTTCTGCATTCTGACATGCTAAACAAATCAGGTTTTAGGAGCCTTATATCTTTGATTATACGTGACACTCCATTGTTGGGAGGACAACTATACACCTATTAAGTAGGAAAAAAAAAACATCCAAACTAACCTGACAATATCAAGTGTTAGAAAAGATATGGGGCAACTGGAACTCCTATACATAGCTGGAAAGGATAAAAAGTGGTTCAGGGACTTTGGAAAACTCTTAGGCATGGTATAAATGTTAAGTTTACATTTACCATACAACCCAGCAATCCTATTTCTAGGTAAATACTCAAGAGAAACATATTCACACAAAAGCCTGCATGGGCATGCTTACAGATGCTTTCTTCATAATGGCCCCAAACTAGAAGCACCTGCAGGCCTTCACTGGTAAGGGGATAAACACACTGTAGTACATTCCTATGACGAGCTACTACCTAAGGCTAAAAAGGAACAAGTGGACAGATACAACAACGTGAATAAACTTCAAATCCATCTTGCTACATAAAATAAACTAGACTCAAAAAGCTAAATACTGTATGATTCTATTTATATGACATTCTGGAAAAGTCAAAATTACAGAGACAGTAAACAGATCAGCGGTTGTCAGAGGCCGAGATGGGACAAGGAACTGACTAAAAACAGCCACAAGGGAATTTTTAAGGATGACAGGAGGAGTCTATGCTTTGTTTGTGGTGGCAGCTATACGACTGTATAAGTCTGTCAAACCTCACAAAAAGGATACATTTTAACTGTATGGAAGTTACACTTCAATAGATCAAGCTTTTAAAAACTGTGAGGACATAGGGAGTCACTGGGAAGAAACTTACACAGTTTGAAAAAAATGTCCCTCTGACGGCTGTAATAAGCTGCTCTCTGTGCTGCCTTACTCTGCTGAAAATGAGGGGGTGGGGAGACCTACGGGAGTCATAAAATATTTTATGCAGAACACTCTGAATTTATACATAAGACTAATTCGGAATGACTGTGACCAATAAAGATCTAATTATTTTATAAAAGGATTTATTATAAATACCTTCAAATTGTAAGTTTCCTTGTGCTTTTAAGCCTTCGTTTAGAAGAAGTGGACAAAATATTTTTGGTAACACAATTATTTTATTAATAACAAGGGCACATCTCAATAGCATCCTATCTGCAAAGGTGTTTCTGAATTTCTAAAGAAATATATGGGCTAACAGAGAAACAGTTTGGCTGGAAATAAATGAAAGGCAACAAGAATTCTGTATCTTTTTTCCATTGAAAAAAATGAATTTGATGACTTAAAAACCTGTTGGTTAAAAAAAAAAAAAAACCTGTTGATTTTATAAAAATTCATAAAGTCATTGATTGTTTCAGCAATGGAAATAAAAAACAGGAAGAATCACAGTAAGAGAAATGAGGTCAGATGCAAGCAATGTTTAACAGCACCACTATTTCTGCCACTAGTTTCTTAAAAAGATGTCAGATGTTGTACAAACACATCCTAACTAATTAAATAGCATATGTCAAAAGAGCCTGCTCTCAGTGGTTACACAACAGGATATTAAAAAAAAAAAAAAAAAAAACTCACCTGATAACATCTTGAACAAGTTAGCCAGTTGACTGTTCCCCATAAGCGCCAATATACATCTCTCCAAGATTTTAATTCTTCAAAAAGACTATTCAAATACTCATGAACATCCCAAGTTTTATCTCTAGGGAAAAGAGCCTCAGTTATTATTTCACAAGTAAGCAATATAAACAGTTTGCTTTAAACAAATAATTTTAAATTTGTGGCTTATTTTCAAGATCATTCCCTAAATGATGGCTATGGAAGGGACTACACTGAATGCTAGATAAAATTTCATTTGGGAATCTTATTCTGTTTTTTTCCTGTGGACAACAGAAAAAAGTGTCACAGACTGAATGCCAAATTATTTTACTACTCAAGATAAAGGGTTATAAATTAAATATAATTTAAGGACTTCCCTGGTAGTCCAGTGGTTAAGAATCTATCTGCCAATGCAGGCGACACGGTTTGATCCATCATCCAGGAAGATGCCACATGCCACAGAGCAACTAAGCCCATGCACCATGATGATTACTAAGCCCATGGTCTAAGGCCTGCGAGCTGCAGCTACTTAGCCTGTGTGCCATAATAACTGAAGCCTGCCGGTCCTAGACCCCACACAGTGCTACTACCGAGCCAACGTGCTACAATTACTGAAGCCCGTGTGCCTAGAGCCTCTGCCTAGCAACAAGTGAAGTCGCTGCAGTGAGAAGCTGACACACCACAGCAAAGAGTACCCCTGCTCTCCACAACTAGAAAAAGCCTATGCAAAGCAACAAAGACCTGGCACAGCCGAAAGAAAAAAGAAGTATGGAGTCTCTTAAAAATAAATACAGTTTAAGCAGGCTAACAGTTAGGACTTAAGCATATATCACTAAATGGAACATATTTAATTGTACCTATCATAAATTATTGGTAATTTTAAACACTCCATTAATATATTAGTTCTGTACATTATTTTCAAAATTACTTTCTAGTAATGGAGTAATAAAGTAATATACAATCAGGTCTCAGTAATACACACTTTTAAGTTCAATGATATAAATTTAAATAAACAGACAAGACTTAAAACTCCATTTGCTATCATTACATGTAACAAGTTCCTATTCTTCTCTAAGTCCTTAATCTTTTTGAATTTTGCTATTTTTGTCTTTAGTTCAAGATACAACAAAATACCATCATGTTATTACAAATTACATCTGTTTTAAGATATTTAAAGACATTAAAAAAATGTCATCAATAGCTAACTTGCAGGAAAAATACTTTGAATGAAACAATAAAACAGAAGTCAAATTTAGCTTCTGTTTTTTCATACAGTAATATTAAGTTATTGCTGTCAAAATGGAAGTAATTTTCAAAAGGTGAGTCAACTCTCAAGATAAAAAAGTATAAAATCCCAAGTGCTTATATTCCCTAACTTATTATATGAAGAGAAAAATGAAACATTTTAATGCTGACTATGCTATTAATACTAGAGTCAAATGTCATGTTTTTCTCTAGATTTCTGTTTTAATGTTTACAATATGAAATTAGCATTTGTACAGTTTTTTCTTTAATAAAAGTACTTCACATTTCTAATATAGGAACAGAAGCAAAAAGCAAATGAAAACCATCCATAATACTGTCATTCTAAGGTAACATGACAGTTAATATTTAATGAACATGTTTCTGGTTTAAAAAAAAGTTTATTTATTTATTTGGCTGTGCTGGGTCCTCCTTGCTGCACAGGCTTTTTCTCTAGTTGCGACGAGCAGGGGGTTACTCTCTAGTTGTGGTGCATGGGCTTCTCACTGTGGCGGGCCCTCTTCTTGCAGAGCACAGACTCTAGAGTGTTTGGGCTTCAGTAGCTGTGGCCTGTGGACTCAGAAGTTGTGGCTCACAGGTTTAGTTGCTCCACAGCAGGTAGGATCTTCCCAGACCAGGTATTGAATCTGCGTCTCCTGCATGGCAGGTGGATTCTTTACCACTGAGCCACCAGGGAAGACCCTTGAGTTTTGTTTTATAACCTCTTTTTTTCCTTATTTAATTTACTATCAATTTTGCATGTAACTATACATTCTTTTGGGCTTCCCTGGTGGCTCAGGTGATAAAGAATATGCCTGTCATGCAGGAGACCTGGGTTCGATCCTGGGGTCAGGAAGATCCCCTGGAGAAGGAAATGGCTACCCACTCCAGTATTCTTGCCTGGAGAATTCCATGGACACAGAAGCCTGGTGGGCTACAGTCCATGGGGTTGCAAAGAGTTGGACACGACTGAGCAACTAACACACACTACATATTCTTTTACATTCTCAAAGACTGAACATTCAGAATCAATTAGATGTGTTTTATACAGATACACTATTATATGGACATATTTTAGTTCATTTAATCATCTGAGTGCTTATTTTTTTATTTATATACAACAATCAATATCCTTACTAAGTGCTTTCATAAATCAATATTACCTCTCTGAATAAATCACTAGCAGTACTATACTGTCAGAGTTATTTTAAAGTTTTTGTTTTCCTGAGACATTATTCCTATTTATAACCCTCTTCACCTACTCCCCAACTCAGGATAAGAACTAGTTTTGAACTTAAGGGGAATGCAAAAGAATTATGCATTAATATAATACTGAAGAAGTATGAAGACTAAATACAGAAAATTCAATTTTAAAGACAGTTTGCCTCACTCTAAAATTCATCTGAAAATAAATCTGGTTCTCTTGTCAAATTCAATATAACACTTAAAATCTATCAGTGAAAAATCATTTTAATGGCACTGATCAGAACATCTTTCAAGATAAAATATACTTTTACAACAACTTTGTTTTGAAAGTACCATCTTTCTAAATCAAAGTTGAATCACATGAAGAAAAAATGTTGTCCCATTCCTTTTAAAAGTAGTTTTGCTTTATAAATACACCATTAATTCACATTTTAGAAGCTGTATTTTATTTTCACTACACCTTATATGAATATATATAATATTTCCATGCTGATCCACATTGATTTTTCCAGGAATGCAAGGAATTCTTCTTTCTGTTTCTTTTGTTAAAAGTTTCTTACACAAACAGCATCTATAATAACACAAAGATACAGTTAAAAAAAAAACCTTGATTAAAAAATGGCTAGAGAAACTGAACAGACATTTTTCCACAGAGGAAATATAGATGGCCAACACACATGAAAAGATCCACAACATCTCACCATCAAGGAAATGCAAATGAAGACCACAATGGGATATCACCTCACACCTGTCAGAATGGACATCATCAAAAAGAGCACAAATAACAAATGCTGGTGAAGATATGGAGAAAGGGAACACCTGTACATTGTTAGTGAGAATGTAAATTGGTGCAGCCACTGTGGAAAACAGTATGAGGGCTCGCAAAAAACTAAAAATAGAACTACCATATGATCTAGCAATTTCACTCCTGGGTATACATTAAGGAAAAAAAACACCTAATTTGAAAAGATACATATACCCCAATGTTAACAGATGCATTATTTACAAGAGCCAAGATATGTAACAACCCAAGTGTCCATTAACAGAGGAATGGATAAAGAAAATGTGGTGAGTACACACATACACACACAATGGAATACTACTTGACCATAAAACCGAAATTTTGTCATCTGCACCAACAAACATGGAGGACATTACGTAAGTGAAATAAGTCAGACAAAAAAAGACAAGTGCTGTATGTTATCACCTACATGTGGAATCTAAAAAATACAACAAACTAGTGAATATAACAAAAAAGCAGCAGACTAATAGCGAACAAACTAGTGGTCATCAGTGGGGAAAGTGTAGGGAAGGGGAAAATAGGAGTAGGGGAGTGAGAAATACAAACTACTGGGTATAAGATAAGCTCAAGGATGTATTGTACAACGTAAGAAATATAGCCAATATTTTGTAATAACTGTAAATGGAAACTAACCTTTAAAATTGTATAAAAATTAAAAAACAACACAAAGAAAGACGATACAAAAAACATTCAAGAAGAAAATTTCAAATGTACCAAATTTAAGAACTTAGCAGCAATATATAGCATACTAAAGAAAAATATACCTGTATAATGTTGCTGCATTATTCCGAGAATCTGGATTCAAGTACTCAGGATCAAACAGTCTCTCAATCTTCTTACAAAAAAGTTTACTAGTAACAACAAATGACCAACAAATTAATTTTCTCTATCCACTTTACCAAAATTACTTGATAGTGATGAAAATAAATGCTGACCTATTTGCACACATAGAAAATAAGACTAGTTAAAGTCCTCAGAGAGTCCTTCCTTGGGAATTTATAATACATTTTTTGCTGCTCTAAGTAAGTAAACCTACTAATGAGAATTGCTTGATCAAGAGCCAATTTTCACAAGAAAAATGAGACACATGGATATCTACCTCTCTTTCAGTTCTTTGTTAAGGAAAATTCCAGATTGAGGATTTGGGAAATTTAGCAATCCTGGGTCTACCAATATTTCATACATGACCTTTGGCAACTTAAAATCTCTGAAACTTATTTCTACTAATTTCAAATGCATAAGATTTTAAGAGGGTTAAATGAGATAGTGTTTTTAAAGAGTGTCAGGCATAGTATTAAACATTCAATAAATATTAATATTTCACTATTATGCTTAATATAATAATCTGGACCTCCTAAGTGATGCTACTGGTAAAGAACTCATCTGCCAATGCAAGAGATTCAAGAGATGCAGGCTCAATCCCTGGGTTGGGAAGATCCTCTGGAGGAGGGTATGGCAACCCACTTCAGTATTTTTGCCTAGAGAATCCTATGGACAGAGGAGCCTGGTGGGCTACAATCAATGGTGTTGCAAAACGTCAGACATAACTAAAGTGACTTAGCATGCACATGATACTATAATGTTAGACATGAACTTAATTTTTCTGTAATCATTCAGAGCAAACATCTGGGGAAAAGTTGTTTAAATCCAACCAACCACATTGCTGTCCTCATCTTACTCTACATGGTAGCAGCATTCCACATAATTGACCACTTAATTGCTTCCTCCTTTTTGAAACCCTCTTTCCTTTTGCCTTGCCTTTGACCCTCTGTCTCTTCCTTCTCAGGCTCCTTAACTCTCCTTTGTTGAATCTTCCAAATGTTGGGCAGTCTTTATCACTATGTTCTTGTTAACAGTTAGGAAATAAACAAAAATAGCATTTATAATAGGGCCAAAAAATTCAAATGCCTAGGAATAAATTTAACTTAAAAAAAGGAAAAATGTCTCTATACTAAAAACTATAAAACACTGCTAAAATAAATAGAGAGTTATACCATGTTCATGAATGGAAAGACTCAATATTATTAAGATGTCTCTTCCCAAATCTACAGGTTCAATGCTAACCCTCAAATTTGCAGGTGTGTATGTGTGTGTATGTATATGAGAGAAAAAGAAAGAGAAAATGGGCAGGCTGATTATAAAATTCATATGGAAATGCAAAGGACATAAAATGACTAAGATAGCAATCTTAGAGAATGGCAAAGTTGGAGAATTTTAGATCGGTGGTGGTGGTGATGGTTTAGTCACTAGGTCGTGTCCGACTCTTGCAACCCCATGGACTGTAGCCTGCCAGGCTCCTCTGTCCATGGGATACTCCAGGCAAGAATACTGGAGTGGGTTGCCATTTCCTTCTCCAGAATTTTAGATTACTAGATACTAAAAAAACATTAGAAAGCTACTGTAATTAAGACAATGTCCCACTAATAAAAGTATAGACAAAGAAATCAACAGAACAAAATGGAGAATTCAGAAAGAGACCTCACATATATAGTCTCCTGATTTATGGTAAAGGTGCCATTGCAATTCGGCGGAGAACATATGGTCTGGCTAGGAAATCTCATTCAGTTCTATGGCTTTAAACATCATCTACTCATATTTTTATTTTAAGCCCTGAACTCTGACCTAAACTTCAGACTTACATCTACCTGCCATCCTACCTGAATGTCCAAGAAGTATATTAAATATATTAAATAAACTTAACAAGATCCAAACACATCTTCTGATTCCCCTCACCCCAGTCACTGCTCTATTAATGACACTATCGTTCACTTAGTTACTTAACCTTAAAACCTAGTAATTATCTTAAAATATTCTCTTTTCCCATATCATCACATTTGAAAATCTGTCAAATCTCTGTAATAACATACTCTGAATCCACCTACTTCCTTCCAGAACCCCGGCCTCTACTCTAGTCTGAAGCTTTCTGTCTCTCACTAGACCACTGCACTAGACTTCAAATAGGTCTTGCTTCTTATATCCTTATAGTCTTTTCTCCACACAGAATGGGCTGATTTCTTAAAAACAAATCAGATCATGCCACTCGTCTGCTTCCATTCCACCTCGAATAAAGTATATACTCCTTGTATGACCTAAACAGCTCCTAATGTTGTTGACCTCATCTCACACAACTCTTCCCCTTTATATTAAGGCCCTGTCTTGATAATTTTTAACATAATTCACCATCATAATCTGCTTATATACGCCTTATACACAGTAACTAATTTAGTTACTATTTTTCACCTCGAGCCATCCGCTCAGAATATATTTTACTTCAGGCAGGTATGCTCAGTTGCTTGGTCGTGTCGGACTCTTTATGACTCTGTGGACTGTAGTCCACCAGGTTTCTCTGTCTGTGGAATTCTTCAGGCAAGAAGACTGGAGTGGGTTGTCAGTTCCTTCTCCAGGGGATCTTCCCAACTCAGGGACTGAACCCACGTCTCCGGCATCTCCTGCACTGGCAGGTGCATTCTTTACCACTGAGCCACCTGAGAAGCCCCATATTTTAATTTATTTAAAAGAAAATGGAAACAGATTTCTAAATATATTCTAAATATAGAATTTTTACTGAAATGAAATAAAAATAACACATTCTAATAGGAACATTACCTTTAAAATTAAATTTTAAAAATTACCTCCTAAACTTATCTTTCTTGTCCTTTAAATCATCAACTTCATTGTGTGTAAACAGATCTGCTATACGTGTAAGAAGATTTGCATTAATACAGTTCATGTTGCATGGAGTAGCTACAATGGCATTCATATTTTTGTGGCAATACTGTATACACTGTTCAACCTAAACAAAAAACACAGAAAATAAGTGTTGAAGATGGAAACAGAAAGGATAAAGTCATATCAATACTTTTCAAAGATAAAGATTCATTAAAGGCTTAATCCATGTATTGCTAGGCAATAACTTAGCTCTGCCTGTTTGCGTTAAACTATACTGTTCCAAAGTGGTCTAGTACGTCAAATTTATACAAACATAGCTAGAAAAAATTTCAAACTTCTTAGAATATTTTGAACAACAATGTAATGAACTTCTTTCATGATTGTGGCAGATATAAATCTTAAGTCCACAAACTCAAGGGTACAGATATGTGACTTTCTATTATAAACTTAGTGACAATTGTACACCTCCATTTCTCTAACAGAAACATTTCAGTCACTTTAGGGTTTTCTCAGGTCTGTTGTGCTTGCTTTCTGCCTTTCTTCAATGTCAGGTATATTTATTTACTTTTCAGGGTAGATTGTGTTTTGGGGAAAAACAGCACTGGTTAATTATGTATTCTTCTAAATATTTTGCTATGACATAAAAATCATTCTTTAGGTCTTAGATTACAAAAATCAAAACTCATAGACTCTTTTAGTCTTTTTTTCCTATAACTCTCCCTTGAAGCAATTAATACCAACAACAGAAGAGGGAGGGACTAAGAAGTACAAAAATACAATAAAAACCTCAAACAAATAAATGAACTGTTTATTTACTGTTAACACAGTAAATTTACTGTTAACACAGTAAAGGAATATTTTGCTCTGTGTAGTTTTACCAGAGGTTAAAAGCAAATATTCATTTAAAACTACAAAAAACAAAAAAAAAGACATTTGAATGATAAAGAAATTTATTAAATAAAAGGAAAAGGAAGAAAAATATATTCAGTGTTAAGAGTCTGATATGTAGACATTGTGCTTTTATATTTCATCAACTACTTTTAACAACAGACATAAGCATGTGGTTTACACATACAAAATCACATCTTTTAGCAGCTGGGCATTCATTTCTTAGTTTCCTTAACTATAAATGAAAGACACAAATAAACAGCACAAGCTTAAACCAATTATTTAAATAGTAAAACAAATATATTCCAATTAATTTTCTTTTAATTTGGTTTTATGGCCAAATCCCTTTTGGGGCAAAATTAATTCTGTTTAGTTTCATCTGATGCAACAGCTACCTCCTCCCTTGAGGATAAATTGCTAGCTTTATAGGCATCCTTCGCAAATGACACACAGTAGCCTTTAGCCTTTCCCAATAGAACAAAGTACCTCCAAACACCAGCAGCTTATTCTAATGAATCACAGTCTTCAATCAACAGCTACTTTAGGAAGCTATCTCCGAATTTTCTAGACATTTGAAGAAAACATCACCAAGCATAGGTGAATAGAAGAGTTGGATCTTTTGTTAACACTTACCAGAGAATCCATTTTCAAAAACTCTGAAGAAATAAGAATTGAAATGACATTTCCTGGCTCTAAAAAAGAGAGAGAGAAAAAATTAAATTCTCCTTTGATTTTCATCTCAGTCTCCTTAAAACAGGCTCCTTTTCACCTTAAAAGACGAGGTTACTTTAATAAGAACAATTTAATAAAATCTTACTATGGCTTATATGCAAGAAAGAAAGAAAATGCAAAGTTAAAATTTAGGGTATAGAGAAAACATATAGCAAATTTGCCCTGGAATTAGATTTACATCAAGTAAAAAGACTCTAGTTAAAGATGTGATATATACTAATTCCTCCTTAACTAAACCAGGGAAAAGGATAATTAAAATTGAGAATATAACTCATCACACAAAAATCATAGTGAAGTTATTTCAAAAGTGGTTCAAATGCTTGTTAAGAACAAATGCTTAATTTAAAAGATTCTTAAAGATAATATAAAATTTACTATTGCAGAAATGAAAAATTACTTCCTACAGGCAGACTTCAAAGGCACAACCAGGGAAAGGGGATGCTGGCTCATGCTATCATTTCAGTAAACCTCAGTCATTTTCCATGAGTTATATTTAAGGAAAAAGAAACATTTTGATATTTACTGTTACAGTACTAAGACAGTCCTCCTAAATAAAGGACTATGTACACAATAATTATAATAAGTAATCCCAATCTTTCCTTAAATAACAATTCTAGATGGAAGGTTCTCAAAGAGAAATGGTAAAGAGAGGAAGGAGTTGGTGAAAACTTTCAACTATAATATGACCCATTCCAGTTAAGACCCAAGGTCTGGATTATTAGCGATGGAATTAAGCATTTTGCTAGTTTTCCTAGTTAAAGACTGCTTTTATAGAAGCTTAACATTTGTAGCCACTGATTTAAGGTTTAAGATTACAGAAAGACCAAGTTTGCTCCATTTTTTTTTACCTTCTGACTGGTTGAAAATTTTGATTTAGCAATTTTGTAATTTTAAGAACCATTAGAAACCTTTTCCCTTAATTTGGTCACAAAAATGTATTAAATTATGAACTTCCTCAGAAGACTTTTATACTGTCTGTATAAATTTATTTACTAGTAAGAAATTAGAAATATTTTGATATTACTGCAAACTGTAATTCTAGTGCACAGAAATACTTATATTAAACCCCACTAGAGTGATTTCCTATACAAGGCAATGCCCAAAAAACATTACTTAGTAATTACTCTTCTTATCATCTAGAACACTGGTTCTCAAACTTTTGCTCTCAAAACCTATTTTCAAAAAAGAACCTTAAAAGCTGAGATTCCTAGACAGCTTTTCTTTAAGTGGGTTATATCTACTGTATTTACTATACCGGGAAATAAAACAGAAAAAAATTAAAATATTTATTATTCTTTTTCAATGAATAAACTCATTACATATTAACATAATTTTATGAAAATAACTATTTTTCAAAACAAAATGAAAATAACAGTTTGACATTTTCTATAAATCCCTTCAGTGTCTGACTTAAAGGCAGATAGTTTGATTCTCACATCTGTTTCCACACTGAATTTGTGGGTAGTCTTTCTTAAAAGTTAGTTGCAATGGGAATCAAAATCATACTAAGAGCATTTCCTATTCTGCTATCTCAAAATTCTCTGATTTACCTTGCACTTAGAATGGATCTTTAATCTATGCATGATTTTTTGTTAACATCATGCATTGATCATTTGAAAGACACTGGTTTGTTTACTGAGTTATGCAGATCTTCCAAATGTTGAAACATTTCATTATACATTATATTAAAAAGTCTTATTTGTTAATATTTAAAGAAAAGTCTTTAAATATACAGCAACTATCAAGCACATGGAAGCAGATACAAGTTTTCCAAAACTCTTAATTCTTACTTGAAAGCATGAATTTTATCATGGGCAACAAATATTGTTAGTTATTTCCCTTTCATTGACGGGCTAACTTAATTCATTTTCAAAAAACTATCTGTCTGGGACATTCCCTGGTCCTAGTGGTCAAGATGCTGAACTTTCACTGCCATGACCTGGGTTGGGGAACTGAGATCCTGCAAGTTGTGCAGTGCAGCCAAAGGAAAAATTAAAAAATAAAAAAGGAGGAAAGTATCTGCCAGATGCTTAAGCGAGGGTCTGTCAGCCATTCTTCCAAGTAAAAATGGTTTTGTAAGAAAGCAGCTAATTTAGCTTTCAACTCAGGCAACTTGTACAAGTGCTTTTCCTTAAGACAGCCGTCATACTCCGGTGTGCAGCCAAGAGTGCACTTCCTGAGTCATCAAGTAGAATGTCAAAAGAATGTACAGTCCAGAGTCAAAAGTTAATAAAATGAGTCATTTTTACTGCCTCATCAAGGATATTCCTAAAAGAAACTATTTTTTCCTTTTCTTTTTTTCCCGTTTTTACGATGAGCCCATGGGTTGAAGAACACAGTGACCACTCATACTACATGATGCTCCTTCCTTGATGTGGGCTAAAGCTCCAACAGCTCTATCCTCTATTACTTCTGCACTTTCTGAACAAATGTCAACATAGAGGGAAAAATGATAAATAACATCTTGGCATTATTAAGCAGATTCCCTTAACCTTGTGGGTCCTCTGAAAGGATCTTTAGGACGCCCGTGGTAGGCCATCATAACATAGAGTGAAAATGGCTAATCTATAGACCTGTCCATTTGCCATAAATTCACTAAAATTTGCTAAAAAGGAATGCGGTATCAGTTTTCTAAACAGTGATTACTAATCTGAACATAAATACTAAGGTGTGAACAATTTTCCACATTTCCTATTTGGCCTGAAGCAACTATCAACTGACACAAAAATTTCACTACAAAGTAAGTAATAGATTGTCTTTTACCTAAAGAGGGCATCTCACAATCTTTATTCTCCTTAGTGTTCCTTTTAACATATTTTATCAACCAGTTGAAAATGTGAACGTCACAATGAACTGAAATGTCCACCTCTTCCCAGCGCTGGGCATCCACAGATAAATATTCAGCAAAGTACTTCATTTCTGATATCAAAAGATCTCGTGGGCAAATAAAATCTTCTTTCAAGTTTTTTGCTTCATCACATACATGGATCACCATGTTTGGCCTTCATGAAAAATGTTACACAGAAATGAAATTATTAGAGTTTTAGAAGAGGAGCCAATAATATTGACATTTATTGGAAGTATGAGAACCAGATGTTTTTCAAGGTTTTAACCACATATCAGTTTTATAAGACTTGTCATTCAGCAGTTTACATTAGCACCTTTCTACCCTGATCAGCATCTGAAAACTATGACTAATTTTAGTTAAGCTACTGACTTAGTAAAACAAAATATTTTTACTATAGAACTAATAAAAGGTTTGAAACTCATTATTTTCAAATTATAAGTTAATTATAGTGTTTTAAAAAAATACCAATTCACAAGGAAAAATTAAATTACAATTTCTAGTTCTTGTGAGCAACATAAAACGGCACTTTTACATAGTAATGGATACAGAAAGGAGATAAAGATGAAACACTAGAATTTTCTTACTATTAATGAATGGGAAAAAGTTAAAATTATTCATTGAATAGTGAATAATTAGCATAGCTATTTTGTTACTTTTAACAGCTAGAAAGCTTGTTTCTAGGCATTCAATAAATATAAATCAGTAAATGTGGTTTAAAAATTCAACACTACAACGTGCTTATTTACACATTCAAAAACAATTTAAGAATAGGTTTAGATGATATATCAGAAAAACTACTTCAAAAATTGTATACTCTTTGAATGTATATGCCCTTGAAAATTATATTACCTCAAAAAGAAATACTAGTGTGATCCACAACTGCCTTCATGTCATTACAAAAGGAAGAGATTAAATAGGAAGAGATACACTAATCTACAATATGAATTTAATATGTACTTAAATGAACTCCAAAAATTTTTAACACAAAGAAATTACATCTGAAGTAAAACTGGCAACAGAAAAAGGATTAATAATCAGTGCTTTGTCAAAATAAAGGAGTTTAAGCAACTTTGCAAACTGTTCTTCCAAAGACATTACGGTCAAAATATAAACAGGTAATGGCTGGTATAATGAAACATGAAAATTCGGTGAATTTTTGGGCCAAAACATGAAATACTAAATAATAATAGTTAAAAAATTAACTTGATAAATTTTTATGCTACACAAACAAACCTATCAGTTCATCTGAGGGGACTTCCCTGGTGGTCCAGTTGTTAAGAATCTGCCTTGCAATGCAGGGGACACAGGTTTGATCTCTGATTGAGGAACTAAGATCCCATATGCCATGCAACCAAGAAAAAGTATTTGTTGAACATTAAGAATATATTGTTTGGATATCTGTCATGGTAAAAATAAAATTTTTAAAAATCTATGTGAGTAAAGTAAATTTCACTAAGCTACAAAAGGGTGAATTTTTTTTATTGTGGTAAAATATACATAGAGTAAATGCACTCATATTATTATGCAATTATGCAATTATCTCTAGAATCCATCCCCAGAACTTTTCAAAAGGGTAAATTTTATGATATGTGTTATTAAAAAACTATCAAAAATGAAAATACCCAAAGGAACCTTTAGAGATAATGAAAATGTTCTTTATCTTTATTGGTTATATGGCTCACATTCATCAAAAGTGAATACTTAAAATATGTGCAGTTTATTGTATGTAAAATACACAAAACAATACAAAATTATTAAAACTTGCATTACATTGAAATATACATTTTAATTTTTAAATGTTTCTATAATGAGTAATTATATCCAAATAGTTCTAAAATACACATCCAGTTTCTTTAATAAAGTTGCAGAACTAATGGCAGAGATTTTTCTTTGGGTTTTAAAGTTTGCTTTCCAAAACTTTACATTAATGGATGTTATTTCTAATATTTATAAGATGAAAATGAATTTTTAAAGAGGAAAACTGTTGTCTATTTTATAAGTAGTATGAATAAGCCATATGTTCACCTACTAAGCAGTTGTTGATAGTTCAACACATCAACTACCCTGCTATCAACTGTTGCAGCAACTGTGTAATGTGAAATTCCTAAATTATGGTAACTGATATATATAATCATCATTCATATATTTTATAATTTGAAGTTGATATTCATATTAAAAGCTTATCTAGCAAAGAACCAGCCTCCTACCCTTCAGATTCTTCAGTCTTTTCTCCACCATTATGAGTAGTACAATTTTCACTTTCTGAAGAACAATTCCTTGTGGAAGCTATACTATGTCTTCCTTAAATACAGAAACAAACACATACAAAAACAAAGCGGGGAGGTTAGCATTTCTAGCTGAAAGTGGGTTTTTACTTATTGAATGGTTATACTATAAATGCATGGTTTCCAAGAGTAGTTAATGATGGTACTTTGTTAGGTGCCTTAATATTTCTAAAGGTATATGAAAGAAACAGTATGAAAAAGAGTCACAAACTGTAACATTACACTGAAGATTAAAAAGAAATACTAACCTGGTATGTAGGGACAGGGGTCAAATGTTCAAAAGCCTACAACAGAATTTCTCTTCCTGAAGCAAATTTTTGTATCAATATTCTGCTACTGCTGAGATTAAAACAATTCACTACACTGAAGATTTCTAAAACCAGCTGTTATTTTCAATGTAATGTGGAGAACATCTCCCAGACCCTGCTTTTGTGTCATCTGAAGCTACTACTGTTGACTTTCATAGAGGGGAGCTGTAAAAAAGGTATCATGAGAGACAAGCAAGATTCTCTCAGTTAACAAAAATTAAGTAAAAGGTACTGGTCAAATTCCTCTAAATTTTATGACACAAATAGGCTAACATAATGGAGTAGTAGATTCTAATATACTGGAAACCTTTTTTTTGGTAATACTGTTGGCCCTGTATGTTAACATCTAAATTTTTTAAAAATATAGCAAAGACAAATTTCTAAAGCTCAGGAAGATACAAATACTAACAGATTTTTCCCATTAAGGTTTCTATTACCCTTTAAATAAAGTTGACTGGAATGCATAATATTTTTCAGAATTATCATAAGGACAAATACTGCATTTTGCTTTTAAAACCTTACCTGTTTTAGAAACTGCATCCTGACCAACTGGAGTCTCCTGAAACTCTCCTTGTGTGTCAAGAAGCGAGGATTTGATGTATGTGGCTAAAGTTTCAACAGGACTCTCCCCAGCAGCCATGAGGGGACTATACTGGTTGTCCACAGGTGAACTGCCACTGCTCTTCAGCTCATCAAACCTCTTTGCACACTGTAACGGCATAAAGGGAGGAAATGCAGGTCTGGGGATTTTAATCAGTTTTTACAAGTGAAAAATTAATCTCTTGGGTAACATCTAGAAAACCAGTGCATATTTCAATACATGAAAACCTCTGACTTGCTTTTTTTGTTTTTTAAAATTCAGGGTAGATTTTTAAAAACATGCTTTAACTCAAAGCCGTAATATATTTATAGACTTGTAGGAAAATGAAGAATGCCTTCACTAACCATATTTCCCAATGATCTATGTCTATTATCAGTTGACAATTTAAAAACTTTAGTTAAAAACTTGGCTGTTATTTTCACACTGAGTTTCCACCAGGAACAAAACCAAATTCTAACCTTCAATAGAAAACAAATCAAAAAGTATCTGATTTGTGATCCTAGATTTTCTTCATTAAAATAATGAGTCTTTGTTCTTACCAACAGTGAGGTTCATCTTGCACAAAATACTGTAGTAACACTTAAAAACACTTATAAAATAAAATGCCTTCCTTAATGTGGGTCTTTGTCAGATAGCACTTCTATAGTATTCATGTTTAAACCTCCATCAACAGCAATGTGGATGGCAAGTTACATAGCAGACCAAGTAACATGGGAGGTGCAAAAGGAGAAAAATATATACTACGTACACACATATATGGTAAGTGAATAATGCATTGGGTATGGCATCATTCATTTACTACACAGATATTTACCAGGTACCCAGTAGATATTGAGCACCTTTTTAATGAAGATTGTTTACTAATAGTATTATAGTACTATTACTACAAACAAATGCCTAATCAAGGTTTAGTCCTTTGAAAACACATTTTAAAGATATATAAGTAAAGTACTTCCCTGGTAGTCCAGTGGTTAAGACTTTGTGCTTCCACTGCAGGGGGTACAAATTTGATCCCTGCTCCTGCAACTAAGATCCTACAAGTCATGCAGTATGGCCAAAAAAAAAAAAAGAAAGAAATTTTTTTCAATTGGGTGAATCTGAATACACAGTGGATATTAGATGATATGATGGAGTTACTGTTAATTTTCCTAGGTTTGACCATGGTACTGTAGCTAAGTAGTTATATAATAATATTCTTATTTTAAGAGGTATGCTGCAGTCTATGGAGTGATGTCTGAAACTTACTTTTTTTTTTTTAGAATATTTATTTGGCTGCATCAGGTCTTATTTGCAGCACATGAGATCTAGTTCTTTGACCAGGAACTGAACCCAGGTCCCCTGTACTGAGACCTCAGAGTCTCAGCCACTGGACCACCAGGGAAGTTCCTGAAACTCACTTTTAAATGTCAAAAAAAAAAAAAAAGCTACATAAAGAAATCAAGGAAACATCTACAATTGCTGATCCCAAATAAAGGATATAGGGATGCTATGTTCTTCTTTTAACCTTTCTATATATTTGAAAATATTCACAATAAAAAGTTGGAAAAATGGTCAAATTCACACTTTAGACTTGTTTTAAAAGCTAACATGTAAAAATCCAAAAGATGAAAAAGTATAGATTAAGGAATGAGAATATACACTAAGTAAGTTCCTTCATCATTTCACAAAGACTTATAATAAAGGGCAAGTAATCTCTGTGGGTATGTTTTCTCAGCTGTAAAAGAAGAGGGTAGAACTTGGTTCATTCACTGATTCTGTAAGTATTGAGAGTGTACCATGGGAAAGGCACTAGTGATAATGCTTAAAATCTACTGGATAAAATCGCTAATGTCCTTTCTACTTCTAGAAACCTGAGATGATTCACTCACTTTAGTGTTCCTTACAATAGCAAAAGTCCTGAGGTCTGTGTGCTCAAACTAGAGTTCAGAGATGAATTACCAGAAAGAGTACCATATAGGAGTTTTTAGGTTGCAAGTTTTGATTCTGAGGATTACATTAATAGAAATCATTTGAGTCATTAGGATGACAGAATATTTTAAGACAAAGGTAGAAAACAGACTTAGTAGAGAAGAGATGTGTTAATGCCAAGGGAAGGCAAGTTAACGTCGTGGTGCAACACAAGGCTTCACCACAAGTTAAAGAGAGGAAAGTGGAGAAAGAACACAGGCTTTGAGGGGCTTTCAGCAATATAGGCCAAACACAAAAAATTTTGTGCCACAAAAGACTATAAAATATTTGCATTATAATTGCAATTTAATTTCAGCAAAACACTATTACTGATCACATTAAGTTTATTAGTTTGAATTATGTTGGTTTGAGTTTCCACTTGTGTCTATAAAATATAAAATTTGGTTTATGATTGCATAGGTGTGTTTATATCTGGTATTGTTAGTGCACATTTAATTTCCACTGTGATAGTAATTTGGGTCATCATTGCAAGTTTTTAAGTTTTTTCTTTTAAAAAGGTCTGTATATTACTCAATTCTGGGAAGCAGCAATTCAGTAATAAAATTGGATTTACAAAAGTCTTACCTACATATTCAGTTGTAAATATGTAAAATAAGGCTGAATTTAATCATAGCAGGTGGGTTAATAAATCATAGATCTACATAGATTTTATATAAGTCAAATCATATTTTATACATATTTAGTTTTTACATGCATATGAATAGGTGAAACTCAAATACTTCTTCTTTCTTAGTAGTTACTCTTTTAAATTGATCACTTTTTCTGATTTCTTTTCAGTAGCTATCTGGAAGACTGTTATTTACCTCTTTGGGTGTTAATCCAGGCACAAGCCTTGCCACAGTTTCCCAATTGATGGTCTGGTGGATTCCAATTAATGGGTAAAGGATCATGTCCAATACCATTTGATTGTTATTGTTTAGGAAATTGTTGTTTTCTGAATATCCACGACTCATCTTTTGGAACTAGAAATAGAGAAGACAAATTTATTTGCACCTGAAATCCAAATGTTTTCAGAACATTATAAGTCAGTTATAATTCATTCCTAAGAATTAACTGCTACTAAAAAAAAGAAAAAGAAAACTGAACTAAAAATCAACACAGAATATATAGCTCAAGTCTCTTCAAATATAACAGCACTTGAATATTATGGATTGGCAGATACACGGATAGAAGGATGTGCGCGCTTAGTTGCTCAGTCGTGTCCAACTCTTTGCAACTCCAAGGACTGCAGCCCATGAGGCTTCTCTGTCCAGGGGATTCTCCAGGCAAGAACATTGGAGCGGGCTGCCCTACCCTCCTCCAGGGGATCTTCCCGACCCAGGGATCAAACCCACATCTCCTATGACTCTTGCACTGCAGGTTGATTCCTTACTCACTGAGCCATCGGGGAAGCCTAGAAGGATATGCAGTTGGGTAAATATGTGATTTAAAAAATATGATAAAATGTTAAGGATAGAATATAAGTGATGGGTATACAAGTGTTCACTATAAAATTCTTTTAATTTTGCTGTATGTTAAAAGCTTTTCATAACAAAACAGAGAAAAAGTTGAATACAATATATCTTCCTTAAAAAACCCCTTATGTGTGGCTGATTTATATTTTGATTAGCAGTTCATGGATGGTGGAGCTAAATGGTGGGAAAAAAAAAAAAAAGATAGTTACATGAAAATTTCATTGCAGTCCCAAGCCATACTTTCTCGCTCTGTGATTGAACGTCCATGCTACAATGAAGGCTGAGTATACTTAATTTGATAGATGTAAAGAGTCGGACACGACTGAGTGACTGAACTGAACTGAACTGGATCAAATGAAACTTAGAACCAAGTTAATCTGACATTTTAGGATAAGCATAATAGTTATTGTGCATGTGATTATGAATTACATATGGTGAGGAGATTATATTAACAAATGTAATTAGCACTGTTTTTATGTGTTTGAAACATTTTTTGTAAAGTTCTCTTATTCCTTGTCTTCAGAGCAATGTGGCAAGTGGCCTGACAAGGTTTAACCCTTACACACACCACAACACATACTCTGACTCTCATATATAAAAAGCCACAACACCTCCACACTCATGCACACTCACACTCACTCCTGCAGAATGTTAGCTTCCTCTGCTTCTTTACTAGGTTCCCCACCCTGGTCCTACTATCACACATACTCTGGTTCAATCCAGGAGACCTTGAATCAAGTGACTAAGGGTCTGTCCAAAATCTTCAGGCAACATGATGACCAAGAAAAAAAGTCTCTAGAAGGCTTTCCAAAGGGATGTACCTCAATAAACATTTAGTGAGTACCAACTATAAGCCAGGCCAAGCACTGGGGACACCATAAAAAATACGGCATGGTCCCTGTCCTCAAGGAGTTTACTATCAGAGAGCTGAGGATACAGGTAGACGAACAGATGATTTTATTTTATTTTTTTTTTCCATTTATTTTTATTAGTTGGAGGCTAATTACTTTACATCATTACAGTAGTTTTTGTCATACATTGAAATGAATTAGCCATGGATTTACATGTGTTCCCCATCCCGGTCCCCCCTCCCACCTCCCTCTCCACCCGATCCCTCTGGGTCTTCCCAGTGCACCAGGCCCGAGCACTTGTCTCATGCACCCAACCTGGGCTGGTGATCGAACAGATGATTTTAATATCATCTGCTGAGAGCCAAGCAGAGGCGAGCCATGCAAGGGCAGAGGAGGGACAAATAGTAACTGTTGTATTGTGGAGGAGGGGAAGACCGGTATGAAAGAGAAAAAGAATCTATCTCCTTCAACCTTAAGAGAATTTTAAGAACTTATTTATCGGGTGTTTACTAGTAGCCTGGAGCTGTACTAAGGTTTTTATATAACTTATTTCAATTCTCATCACAACACTATAAGATAAGAGTCTTTCCCCAGTTTTACAAGATGAAGACACATTCAGGAAACTTAAATAATTTGGACAAGGCCACAGAGCTAATAAGAGGCAGAAGAAAGACCCAGGTAAAACTGACTCTCAGATCCATGCTCTTTCCATTATATTCGAGAAGTATAGAGTAGATAGCTAATGGGAATGATGGCTTAGGGTAGAGAGAGAGAGTCTAAACATTATGAAGTTAGTAATGATTCAATGAAGCAATTTCCAAAGCTTCTGTCTGTGAGCCAAGGGAGAGAAAAGGCTGTGGTACTGAAGGAAAAAAAGAAGCTACTCCCTTCAAATTTAAAAAATTTTGAGAATTTATGTCAATTATACTTCAATAAAACTGAAATCGTTAAAAAAAAATTAACATTTCCTGAGACTCCACCATGGACCAGGCATTGTATCTGAAGTCAGAATGGAAATTTACAGAAATGGCACCCACTCCAGTACTCTTGCCTGGAAAATCCCATGGATGGAGGAGCGTGGTAGGCTACAGTCCATGGGGTCGCAAAGAGTCGGACATGACTGAGCAACTTCACTTTCTATGACTTTATTGGGCTCTAAAATCACCGCGGATGGTGACTGCAATCATGAAATCAGAAGACGTTTGCTTCTTGGCAGGAAAGCTATTACAAACCTAGATAGTGTGTTGAAAAGCAGACACATTACTCTGCCAACAAAGGTTCATATAGTCAAGGCTATGGTCTTCTCAGTGATCACGTACGGCTGTAAGAGCTTGACCGTAAAGAAGGTGGAGCCCCAAAGAATCGATGCCTTTGAACTGTGTTGCTGGAGAAGACTCCTGAGAGTCCCTTGGACAGCAAAGAGATCAAATCAGTCAATCCTATGGGAAATCAACCCTGAACACTCACTGGAAGGACTGATGTTGAAACTGAAACTCCAGTATTTGGTCATCAGATGCGAACAGCTGACTCACTGGAAAAGTCCCTGATGCTGAGGGCAGACTGAGGGCAGAAGGGCACCTGAGGATGAGAAGGCTGGATGGCATCTCCAATGCAATCCAAACTTCGGGAGATGGTGAGGGACAGGCATGACTGGCATGATGCAATTTATGGGGTTGCAAAGAATGAGACACGACTGGGTAACTGAACAACAACAACAATGGCTTTATTGATGCTGAATCTGTGCTGGAAATATAACCCCCAAAACAAAACTGTTCTTATGGAAAAATGTTACCTATTTTAGGAAATGAAGTATAAAGCAGAGATACACTGACACACTACTACAGTGGAAGAAGCAATGTACAGAGAAATCTGAAACTTAGGTTTGAGGTTTAACTCCACACAAATTAGTCAGAGCAGGTCATCTGAACTTCTGCAATGAAAATTAAGTGACAGTAATACCTATGAAAAGTGAAAGTGAAAGTCACTCAGTCGTGACAGACTCTTTGCGACCCCATGGACTAAACAGTCCATGGAATTCTCCAGGCCAGAATACTGGAGTGAGTAGCCTTTCGCTTCTCTAAGGGATCTTCCAAACCCAGGGACTGAACCCAGGTCTGCCACATTGCAGGTGGATTCTTTATCAGCTGAGCCACAAGGGAAGCCCAAGAATACTGGAATGGGTTGCCTATCCCTTCTCCAGCGTATCTTCCTGACCCAGGAACTGAACCAGGTCTCCTGCATTGCAGGCGGATTCCTTACCAACTGGGCTATCAGGTATACCTCTAATTGACTTTATATAAATAACCAAAGAGATTATTTTGTGAAAGCACTGTGAAAAAAGCACCTCACAAATGTGATGCAGCATAAAATAACAGTACCTATGGTAAGGACCTAACAGAAGCAGAAGATACTAAGAAAAGGTGCTAAGAATACACAGAAAGTGAAGTTGCTCAGTTGAGTCCAACTCTTAGTGACCCCATGGACTGCAGCCTACCAGGCTCCTCTGTCCACGGGATTCTCCAGGCAAGAACACTGGAGTGGGTTGCCATTTCCTTCTCCAATAAGAATACACAGAAGAACTGTACAAAAAAGATCTTCATGACCCAGATAATCATGATGGTGTGATCACTCACCTAGAGCCAGACATCCTGGAAAGTGAAGTCAAGTGGGCCTTAGGAAGCATCACTATGAACAAAGCTAGTGGAGGTAACAGAATTCCAGTTGAGCTATTTCAAATCCTAAAGGATGCTGTTGTGAAAGTCCTGCACTCAATATGCCAGCAAATTTGGAAAACTCAGCAATGGCCACAGGACTGACCTCAGGAAATGGTCAGTTTTCATTTCAATTCCAAAGAAAGGCAATGTCAAAGAATGTTCAAACTACTGCACAATTGCACTCATCTCACACGCTAGTAAAGTAATGCTCAAAATTCTCCAAGCCACACTTTAACAATACGTGAACCATGAACTTCCAGATGTTCAAGCTGGATTTAGAAAAGGCAGAGGAAGCAGAGATTCAATCGTCAACGTCTATTGGATCATTGAAAAAGCAAGAGAGTTCCAGAAAAACATCTATTTCTGCTTTATTGACTATGCCAAAGACTTTGACTATGTGGATCACAATAAAAGGTGGAAAATNAGTAGTCATGTATGGATGTGAGAGTTGGACTATAAAGAAAGCTGAACGCTGAAGAATTGATGCTTTTGAACTGTGGTGTTGAAGAAGACTCTTGAGAGTCCCTTGGACTGCAAGGAGATCCATCCAGTCCGTCCTAAAGGAAATCAGTCCTGAATATTGATTGGAAGGACTGATGTTGAAGCTGAAACTCCAATCCTTTGGCCACCTGATGGGAAGATCTGACTCATTGGAAAAGACCCTGATGCTGGGAAAGATTGAAGGTGGGGAGGAGAAGGGGATGACAGAGGATGAGATGGTTGGATGGCATCACCAACTCAATGGACATGAGTTTGAGTAAACTCCGGGAGTTGGTGATAGACAGGGAGGCCTGGCGTGCTGCAGTCCATGGGGTTGCAAAGAGTCAGACACGACTGAACGACTGAACTGAACTGATCACCTAGGATCAAGCTAAGGATAATGTGAGATGTTTAAATGTTGTAATGGGGAACTGGACTGCAGAAACTCTCAGTGAAGCGTTAACAATGATTAGTACTACATCACTGTATATGTAAAACACTGATGCAGGACATCGGGTGGTAGACATAATAGATTTATCCTACATGCTTCTGCATGAACATTAGAAAGAAACAAGAAAATTACAGCTTCCTAGCAACCAGACAGGTACCTTGCAGAAGGCCCAGAATCGTGTTGCGTATGGAACCTGGAGCTAGACTGCCCAAATTTCTGTCCTGATTCTACCACTTAAGGAATTATCTGGTTCCGATTACGTATCTCTATGCCTCAGTTTTCTCATCTGTAAAACAAATAATAATAGTAGCCAGCCCATATAGTTTTGAAGATAAATGGACAATGTTACCTGGCACTTAGTACTATGTAATGTTTATAATAGTAACACTATCATTCCAAAGAGCCTAGGATTAAACAGATTCATAAAGATAAATGTAACAGATGAAAGGAGAGACAGTGACTTTCCAATGAAGTAAGCTCTCAACAAAATGAGTGGAAAATCAGATCTAGATTCTTATCTAGTTACCATTTCCAGCAGAACAACCTATGATTTCAATGGTCTTGGCTATAGCACAGGAAAATAATACCTATCTCTGACGTTATTGTAAGGATTAGATAATACATATAACAGACTACCTGGCATACAGAAGGTGATCAATAATTATTTATTTTGGCCACTTTACTGGCATAAAATTTTTCAAAAACTACTTTAAGAACTGTGAAACACTGCCTTGAGCTCAGCTGAAAATAGATTTTACAGAACTTCATTGTTTGCTACTTGTGTACCTAGGACATCATCACTTCATACCACACAACTTGAGAACTATGTTGGGGCATGGAGTATTTTATTACAATTCTGTTTGGGCCTCAATATAAAATAGTCTGAAAACAGAATACAGGGCAAGGATTTGAATGTTATTTTTTTTACTTTATTTCCAAAAAGATTACCTAAAAATTTCTAAAATATTTATTGTGATCTACAATGTGCAGGTACATGTTAGCTAATCAAAAATACAGTTCATATAAAATATTTTCAAATTTGTATGTGTATTCCATACTTGTATAAATACTCATTTATAATACGTATGTTTAAGAATAATTTACATCATCTAACACTGACATTTTAGGAATCAGCAAACTAAAATGGACTGGAATGGGTGAATTTAACTCAGATGACCATTATATCTACTACTGTGGGCAGGAATCCCTTAGAAGAAATGGAGTAGCCATCATGGTCAACAAAAGAGTC